TTTTTCCACTTAAAACGCCTTAATATACATGGTCGTTGTCTTGGGCAAAAACGCCTTACTATACATGGTCGGTTTTTTCGGCTTAAAAGGCCTTCCTAAACATGGTCGTTTTTTTTGGAGTAAAAAACGCCTTCCTAAACATGGTCGTTTTTTTTGGGCTAAAAACGCCTTACTGCACATGTTAATTTTTTTGGGCTAAAAACACCTTACTGTACATGGTCGTTTTTTTCGGCTAAAAACGCATCACTATACATGGCTGTTTTTTTGGGCTAACAACGCCTTACTATACATGGTCGTTTTTTTCGGCTTAAAAACGCCTTAGTATACGCAGTCGTTTTTTTCGGCTAAAAATGCCTTCCCATACATGGTCGTTTTTTTGGCTAAAAATGCCTTACTATGCATGGTCGTTTTTTTCAGCTAAAAATGCCTTACTGTACATGGTCGTTTTTTTCGGCTAAAAACGCCTTACTATCCATGGTCGTTTTTTGGGCTCAAAATGCCTGACTATACATGGTCGTTTTTTGGGGCTAAAAACGCCTTACTGTACATGGTAGTTTTTTTCGGCAAAAAACGCCTTCCTATCTGTACATGGTAGTCTTTTTTTTTTTTTGGTTGAAAATGCCTTAATATACATGGTCGTTTTTTTCGGCTCAATACGCCTTCCGAAACATCGTCGTTTTTTTTTTCGGCTAAAAATGCCTTACTATACATGGTCGGGGTTTTTTTTTGCTAAAAACGTCTTTCTACACGGTGGTTTTTTTTTTTTAGCTAAAAACGCCTTCCTATACAAGGTCATTTTTTTCGGTAAAAAACGCCTTACGATACATGTTTGTTTTTTTCAGCAAAAAACGCCTTACTATACAACTCATAATGCATTCAAACTAATCACCAACATTATCTCAGGAGCACAATATCAAAACAACTTTAACGAGCAAAACAAAAATATGTAAAATAATTTGTGCCGATTTTTTAAAATCAAAGATGATGTCAGGATTAATCGCTACGAGTCGTAGTCACAAAGCGGGATGGTGTGTAAGCGCAAAGGTGCGGGGGTTCGATGCCGGCTGCGGCTTTCCTGTGTGGAGTTTCCATTTTCTCCTGCACGGGTAATCCGATTTCCACCCGCATTCCAAAAACATGTGTGGCATGTTAACACAACGTCCCTGGGTGTGAGCACAGAGGTTTGCATTACTTTTTAAATGTACTATATTCACTTCAGCTTGGGGATGTGATGCTCAGAGTCAACCCCCCCGCTCAAGTAGTTTGCACTCATCCCGCTTTTGTTTCCTTGTTTAACAGTTACGTTGAACACGCAAAAAAACGACGTATCTATTCAAACGATGTCTAATACTGCTTGTCGCTTTCAGGGCAATGCATGAAGCACACAAAACGGGAGACATTCTGCAAAACATTTCCTTTTAAATTGCACCGTCACATCTGTTTAGTCGTATTGGCACAGACAAAGCCACTTTCTCTGTACTTTACAAAGTATACACTTCACAGGATGAAATAAATACATGGTTCTCACAGTGATGTTAGACTTTTAACATTCAATTTATAGACACAAAGAATCTTCCAGTGCGGGGCTGACACCGAACACGCAGGTCTTTTCATGCGTGACAGAAAACTGCTCAGGGGGGCCCGTAATACTTCCCCCTTTTCCTCGAACTACACACAACAAACATGAGAGCAGGATTCTCTCTCGGTTTACACCATTGTTGATCCGTCACATTTTGTGATCCGTTTATAAAGCTACCCAAGAATTTACTGCGGTTGAATGAAATACGCAGTGGAACCTCCAAAGTTGATCAGCAAAGAAAGTACTGAAGGCTACACAAAATGAACATACTTGGAAATTGAGAAAACAAACCATCGATGATTTCGCTCTCGATATGAGGACACATGAAATTGGCCTGCGAAGGTGAAGGTGAACAATTCTGCTCCTTCAAAGGATGCGTTGAGGGCAGCTTGGAAAAGGCGCGGTAAGGACGCGACCTTCCTTCCTTCTCCCCGGTGTTTTTCATGTTTAAAAGCAAACGCAGGGATGCGTGCTGGGTTTGGGGTGGAGGTTGAGTCAAGGGTGTCCCCATAAAGTGCGCTTGTCATCCAACCGGTGCAAAGGCTCAACCAACAAGTTTCAGACTTGACTATCATAAGCGCTGATCCAAATGTGGCGTGGAAACGTCAACAAAGTGAAACTCAGGACAAGACGCGCAATAAATGGAGAAATTTATATTTGGTGCTACAACAGCTTCCGCTCTTGAGATTTTACGGGGTGTGGCCTTTTTTTTTTTTTTTTTTTTTTTTTAAGATTGGGCTTGAGTTCATCCATACCAATTTTTTTTTTTTTAATTATTTAAGATTGGGCTTGAGTTCATTCATACCAAAGCACATCTTTGTGAATACGTCGTGCAAATGTTTTTTTTTTCTTATACTGCCTATTTAATGCATCAGAATTGGATCTATACATAAGTTTACAGTGTATCGCCTATTAAAAAATATTTTAGGTAGTATTGCACACACGCGCACACAGGTTAAGGACATAATGATACTTGCTAAACTCTATCCATTAATTTCATAAAGTTTCATTGTTAGGTACATTGATAATATTTTGATTTAGCTGTGTTCTTGGTAGTGTATCGCCGTACGTACGTTAAAGTCAACTGTGAAATATTCATGTTTATGACGCCAGTCCTGGAAATTTGAAATCCATTTTAAATTCTGAAATAGGATCAAGAATGATCTGTAAATATGACATGCGCTTTAGAGTACTCTAAAATGTCATCCGATTTAAAAACAAATGAAACGAAAAGCAACGCAGTCGTCAAACGACATTCCTAATATCCGACGCAAACCCGGGACGAAACATTGTTGCTCTCCACCCTAATAGCCGCACTTGTGATTGACACAAAGAAGTATGATTTGCGCCACGGAACGGGAGAGTAGGACAAAATGTGGAAAAACAACTTCCAGCGTTCTTGCCGAGTTTCTTATCGAGTTTCTTTTGACGCCGACACATTGTGCGCGCGTACTTCACGAAGGCTACTCGGATGGCGACGAATCGGTCCGCGCCCGTCAAATTCCTCCGACAAGAAGAAACAGTTAGCACGTGTGAAGTGTTGCGGCTGAGAGGTTAGTGATAAGGCAAGCATCTATGCAGGATAGATGGTCCATATTTATGTTACAATTGGCATGGCTACGAGTCACACTCACACTGGGTGAGCGCTTGAAACAGTTCCTGACAAGGCTATCTACACAGAAGAGTCCAGTATATTCATACACGTTGGTGGTAAAAAGAGACCAAAGCACCGTCATTTGAAGTAGTCAAGTCCCGCCACCAAGAAGAACTTCTCGAGGAAAAGTTCGGAGTCCAGGACGGCGATGTGGGCGGCTCGGCCGATCAGCGTGTTGGCCGTGTTGGGCAGAGCGTGGAAAACGTTCTGACGGATTAACCGGCAGTCTTTGGCCTCTACGAGAGGCTGCAGCAGGTTGTTGATCATCTCCGTGTAGACGGGGCCTGGTGGGGAAGAAATTGAGGGACCCGACCCGATTAATTTTTCACATTAACACTACAACGTAAGACAAAAATAATGACATTCAAAGCCTTCCATAAAAGCAAATACTAAAGTGATGAAAAAAAAAATTGCCTGTAATTCATCTTTATTGTTACAAGCATTATTGTATTATTCAAGAAATACTCTGCTGATCAGTTATCGCAATTTTATTCCGGCAAATATATGAAATGGCCTAATAAAAATGAGCTCTCTCGTCGGACCCTCGGTAAATTATTCAGACGGGTCACGTGAAAGTGATTTGGTTCCCAATTACAGTATTCCATCATTTCATTCATTTATCTGCGCACTGGATAATCTGACGAGCTTTTACTCATGTTTTCATGATGGTGTCCTTGGCAGAATTGGACACAGCTCATGTTCTGTGGCCGGGAGATCGAGATCGTCTACCTGTGGTTTTGTCTTTGAGAGCGGTTTTGCACATCTCGATTCGGGCAGAGTGGAAAGGAACGTAACGGTCCTGGGGCGACGCCACCAGCACCACATTCTTGAAGAACTGCAGCCCTAACGGAAATAAAACAAAAGGAGTTGAAAGAGACCGCAAGGCGTGCGTACGTGCGTGAGAAAGAGGGCGGGGGAGTCATTTTACTCGAAATGGCAAAAGCGCAATCCCAAAGTGCAATGACAGGCGAGAGACAAAATAAAACAGTTTTTCTTTTGGGTCCGCTGTCAGCGAGCGCTTTTAAAAGCGCACTCGGCTGCGTTTTCGCTGACGGGGTGTCAGACTTGCGCACTCTTGCTCTGTGTGGGTTTGACAAAAAGCATTTCCGCGATGATCGTCATCCAAGCCTGCGTGACAAAGCGCCGGGTTGTCGCGCTCACTGACACAGCGGGGAGGCCACTCAGAAACATGACACAAAAACGGGCCGATTGAAAAGTCGACATTTGAATGAGGCCGTTTCGGCAAGTTTTCCTACCGGGTTTCTGACTCAGGAGATAAAGGAAGGTTTTCCGCGGATCCGTGTTGTCTCTGAAGGTGAGCTGCAGCAAGGATCCCGATTTCTTCAGCTTCTGCATTAACCACAGACCTTCGTAACCACAAACATACAATCCTGTGAAACTTTGCCTCAAAAACCGAGGCGCACGGATATTAGTTTGATAATTGTTGTCGAGAGCACAAAATGTTCACGCGCAGGGTACATGTAGAGCATTTGCGGTGTTCACTGAAAGGCTCGGAAAGTCTCGATAATTACCAGAAGACTTTTTTTTTTTGATCATTTACTTCTGAGGATCATGATTTTTAATTATAATTAGACACAATTACGGACCTAACTCTATTCTTAAAGCAAGGGGAGAGCTTGGCCCATTTTGAACGTCGTCTTTATAAGTAGCCAAATTTTGTTCCGTTTTTTGATCATCGGCTCCAAGCACGACAAACAAATCCTATCCAGGTTGTATGCTGGCAGATTTGAGAAAAATAAATAAATAGGTCTAAATTTGGTGACCTCGGAATCACGCAGCCATGTGGGTCTCTCTCTCTCTTTCATATTTTTAACAATTTAACATATCGGTCGTGTTTTTGAAGCTCGATAACACTTTGTCAACAGCAAAGAGTGGGCAGAGTTGCTTTATTATTCTCTATAGCTGACACAAACTCAAATCTATTGCTGTATCATCGGCGTGTTTTTCAGTGTGACCACTTAATTGCTGATGAGCTGGAAGAGCTCCAAAAAAAAAAAAAAAAAAAAGGGCTCTCTGCCTCACCTGTGCTGACCAGCGCGCTGTTGTTGTACAGCGTCCCCAAGTGCGGGCCGGACAGCGAGAGGAACGTGTGCAGTCTGGGCAGATAGCAGCGGAAGCGAGGCCTCGTCAGCACCGAGCGGATAATGACGTTCCCCAGAGAATGTCCGATGAAGCTGTCGGCGCCAGAAAAAACAAAACAAAACAATATTTTATTATAGAACGCTTGCGGTTACGAAGCGTCTCATTAAAGAAACTTCATTAGCTCGTTCAATGTTCGCACGACCGCAAAGACAATTTAATGACGCTCGCGTAGAGGACATTGTGGGTAGAATTAATTGCAGTCGATGCGACTACGCCGAGTCACCTCGCTGAATTACTCCGCCGTTGCTGCAAATGCACCCCAAAACCTTCGACAACGCTTGTTGCCTGACATGCGCTCGACTCTCCAGAGAGCGCAGCGCGAGCGAAGAAAGTTGAGTGGGAACTCTTCCTCCCTGGCATTTGGAGGGCAATTAAGCGGGAAGATGAATAGTTTCATTTCACGGGAACCAGGCAACCCGTCGCGACATTAAGGCTACAGTCAAACAACGATTCTTTGGAAACATTTTGAGTATGAATGATAAAAAGCTTTTCATCCATTCTGAGTCACTTATCAATTTGGAGTTGGCCAGTGACAGTAAATTATGGGGGGGGGCTGACCGTCCAAATAGATTTTTACTGTCTCTGCTGCCCTCTATTGACATTAGGAGGAAGTACAGTACAGTGTGACTATGAGGAAGGAGAATGGTTTTCTCACCACATAGTTGTGTTATCATACGAAATCAGTACTTCGCTTTACATTATCTCAATAAGTGTCGGGAAGGTGAACCGAATATTGTGGCCGGTGTCCTTTCATTCGGTGAAAACTGACCTGATCCTGCCTATGGTGAGATTGTACAACTGGATGTGCTGAATGATCTCATCCAGCAATCTGTCCGTCATGGTGTCAAAATCAGCAAACGTGTCAGCCTGCAAAGAATTTAAAAAAAAAAAAAAAAAAAAGCACCAAAAATAAGATTTGAATGAATTGCTTTTAATGTTTTGTTTTACAATACAAAAAAATACCTGGTTTCTTTCAGACATGAGGAAGTCCAGCCGGGATCCTGGCAGGCCTAACTCGATGAACGTCTTCACCAGGCGAAGGTCTGCGCTGTTTCCTGGAAGAAGAAAAAAAAAAAAAAATCAAATTAAATCTTACAATGTCTGAAGCGGTCATTTTGACAAGCGGGAATGAAAGCGGCCGCCTCCTCGTAAATCTCACCATCCAGCCCGTGCACACACACCACGAGGTGTATGCCGTCGTCAAACTCCTCGTCGTCCTCCTCGGGCGGGAAGTAGGGCAAGTCAGATGCCAGCAGGGGCAGGTCGCTGTAAAGGCCGCCCAGGAAGCTCATGCCTTTAAACAGCTCCTCTTTGGCTTTAAAGAAACTGGACATGTGCAGACAAGCAAATCATGTAACTCATAAAAAGGATGCATTACAAAGCTCTGGAAAAGAATAATAATCGTAATTGTAAGTAGGAACGGTATTTGTATGATTAGTACTGCAATCTTCATACACTTTTCTGATATATTTTGATCCTCCTGGTGAAGCAAGGTACTCAGACATGACGTACCGTATTGGCCCGAATATAAGACAGTGTTTTTTGCATTGAAATAAGACTGAAAAGGTGGGGGTCGTCTTATATTCGGGGTATAGACGTTATACCCATTCACGACGCTAGATGGCGCCAGATATCAATGAAGCGAATGCTGAACTTGACTCCCCAGGCCAAAGTGGACCCCTGCCACGAAGAATAAAAATAAAAATAGCGGTAGCACGAAGAAGAAAAATAAAAAATAGGAAAAGAGAAGAAAATAATAGAAGAGATAACAAAAAATGGAGAAACGTAGTGACAATCTGGAGAAAAGTGGGTCGAAGATCGGCCAGGTTAACCGGCAGCTGAGGAGAAGTTATGACGTCATTTACATTTCAAAAACCGGAAGCCATTCATTTACGAATGTGATTGCACTTTAGATTTGAATGAGGCAAAATAACATGCTTCTTCTCTCAAATATATTGTTATAATCATTTGTTTCAGATGTACTGTAATTATTTTCTGTATAAAAATTAATTTGGTGTTCAAAAAGTCTTTTTTCAAACTTGAGTCTTATAATCAGGGCCGTCTTATATTTGGGCCAATATGGTACTTTGACAGTATTTAAAGAAAACGGACAGAACGTTAGATGCGGCGCTTGGTGTGGCGTTCCTGATAGTGAACGTGGCCAGTGAGTGTATTCACGCGTGGAAAAACAAACCTCAGCATGCGTTCGTTGACCTCCTGGTCCACGCCAAAAGGGTTGGCTAACGTTGAGGAGATGATGCCAAACGAGCCCAGCGGCTGGTTGGTAATGGGCGAGGTCGTCAGGCGGGCGGACATGCCGCTCATGGACGGAGAGTCTCTTAGAGCAGAGGAGAAGGGCAGACAGGTGGGCGCGCAGGACACCGACATGTTCACCACCTCCACCATTTTCTTATTGACGAAGGCCAAGCCCGAGTTGGGCACCTTGGAGGGTTTCGTCGGGTCACCTGCCACTCCGTTCTCATTGGCTGACGTCCCGTTGTGGTCACCGTGTGTGGTGATCTCATGGCTTGTCACCCTCGTGAGGTCGCAGCCTTCCGAAGATGGCGGAAGTGTTCTGGACTCCTGGTTACGAAATTCAGTCTGGTGGAGACTTTGGTTCTCATCGACATTGATGCCACTCTGCCGGTCCGTTGCGCTTTTATGAGCACTTGGCTCGTGCTCACTCCTGCGGGGAAGTGCTTCCAAAGCTGCGAGCTGCACATCCTCCACAGAGGCACTTACCCCGCCGATGTGATGATTTACATACTGGCCATGGCAGTCCGTAACAGGACTCTCCTTAACCTGAGGGCCCGCCACAGACTCGCAACTTGGCGCCGAGCTGGATTTGTCGATCTCAATAACGTTTTGCCGATGATTCGACGTTTCAGAACCGACGGTGCCTTCGGTACTGTTGTTTGTCATCGAACTTGTGTCTAAAATGGAGGATTCCGACCGCTCCGAGGTCAAAGAAAAATGGGCTTGATCGGAACGTGGGTGTGGCATTAAACCACTCGAGGCGTGCGCCTCTTGAATTAGAGGCGCGCGGTCTTCCTCGTTGTCGTCCGGGCTACTGATCTGCGGTGCGGACATGGATTTGGTCAGTTTGCCGCCGTGGCTCTGCTCCCGTTCGTCCTCGTAAGGCAGGGAACTTATGGACGTCAAGGAGGCCTGAATACCTCCGCTTGGAATGCTACCGTTGCTCTCCATCTGCAGGCCCTCCAAAGAGCCGCGAAGGACCGGGTGGCGAGACACTTTCTGCCGCGGGATCTCCCGTTCGCTGGAGAAGTCCAAAGCGGGTTTAGCCCGCAGGACCATTTCAACAGGCCACGCCACAGAGCTGGGCTCGCTCTCGATACCCGAGTCCGAAATGACCGAGGATGAGCGCTTGATCATCTTCGAGATGACCGGACCTCCTCGAGGGGGCAACTCCTTTCGGAGACCGCCGAGAGAGGACGATGAAACAGAATGTGCGGACACCGCGGGGGTGCCGACTGGAGCATCCTCACTTTCATAATCCGCGAACTGAGTTAATGGCACAGACATCTCAAAGTCGTTGTCGTCACTCTTTTGGCTACTGTTGTCCTTTGAGGCATCAAAACGATGGATGCAATCTTCCGGAATAAGATGCACGTTCCCATTCCTGAGGGCTTCTTCTGTTTGACAAGCGACAAGATCCGCAGATTTTCCCAGGCCTGAACTTTCCTCGACTGATGAGATGTCCTTTGATTCCTGCGGATCCGCCGCCGGTCGCTCTGCTCTTTCCTCCATCGGAAGAGCGTCCCGAGAACGTCTGCGGTTGCTCCGCTTTCCGATGAGCGACACATAGGTGGTCAAATCCATGCAGTCGTCGCTATCCGAAGCATCCTGGGATACTTCAAAGCATTTGGCCCTCGGACCACTTGGGTGAGCCACGACGACAGCCCCCGCGTCGGTCCGATCGTCGGACGTCGCAAGAACCGGCGCATGCGCTACCCGCTCTGGAAAGACAAAGGCGTGACAGTTTCAGAGCAAATACTCTTGCCTCCAAACGTACCGCATCACAAAACACGTTGGATTGACCTTTTGCAGAAAACTCCACATATCGGTCCTCAAAGATGATGGGAAGGCTGTTCCAGTCGCCATCAATGTCCAGGCACTCGACGGGTAAAGGAGGCATTTTGGCCAAGTAGTCCGAAGACCGTACTTCTGCTGCAATCTGGCCCTGTCTGCTGATCCTTCAGCGTAAAGATCACGATTTTCAAGAAGCGCTTCGTCCAAATGTGTTTTATCTTGTTCCGATACTTACAGATCCTCTTGAAATAGAAGCGATGTCTCTTTGGGGTGCTCTGTGAAAAAGTACGCCTCTGAAAACCTCCTCACCTTCGGGAAACGAAACACATCGTGAGGCTCGGACTGCGGTTAAAACGTCGCGAGCTGCTATTAAAAGCACAAACGGAAACCTTTCAAAAGTCTTCTTTTCATTCGGGGCTGCTCATCGCCTTTGTCCTCCTTTAATTTAGTCATGCTCCGTAGTCCAAACTCAGGCACGATGACAACAAATCGCCAGCGGGACAAGATTCCTGGTGTATTTTTACACCTCCCCGCCAAATAATTACAGAATATGCGCTAATTGAAAATCCACCGACGAGTGAAGGCTTGCCAGCATCCCGCCACCACGGGGTAACTTTCAAACCAAGGCAAACATGTTCATTACTTCCCGACAAATGCAACAAACTGAAAATCGCCCCGCGGAGAGACACAGCGAACGAGCTTTTGTATTGGTTTTAAATGGGCCGCTGATTACGCGGGAGACAGAGTGGTTGTCGACAAAACGAGATTGAAGGCGCGCAAGTCTATTACGTTTCTGTTTCTATTTGTGGAACGAACAGCACTTGGCACGATCATAGGATGACACAAATAAAAATGTTGAAAAACAAACCAAAATAAAAATGAGCAAAGGAGAGACGACAATAAAAACTCAAATATATCGACAAAAAAAACAAAAAAACGAATAATAAGAATCCTGTCTTGGCGGCTCTCACCCTGAGAGTGTGGTGCTCCTGAGCCACGTAGGACAGGACGTGGGGGTTGAGCGCGGCCGCCTCCAGGAAGCAACGCCAGAGGGCGGTCAGCTGCGTGCAGAGGTGGCCCACGTCCCTGCTGATCTGCTCGGCCACCTTCTCGCGGCCCTCCTGCAGCTGGCGTGGACAACAGAGGGCGGGGCCGCTTTAGTCTCGTGTATGTGCATGTGTGTGTTCATGGCGTGGCTGGCGTATTTCTCAAGACTGTCTGATGTGTTTCATGGAGCTCGAAAGCGGGATCTCCCCCTTTTCGGTCTTTCGGGAAATGATTCTAATTGCTGAAGCAGAGGCGAGTAGAGCAGACACACTAATATATCTTTTCGACCGTGCGTCAAGCTCATCAATCTTTTTTTCCAGATATATTTTTATTCAGGCCTACAGACTTTGCTTTTAATTTGGAAGCTGCTGAAAGAAACGAACGAGTGCATCATACAGTTTTGCTGAAAAAAAACTAAACATGGTATATAACCATTCACACAACCATTTAATGTCCACGGATTCTGATCAACTTTTTTTTTTTTTGGCCCCCTAAAGCATTAGTGTGGTGTGTTTTTAACATGCGTACCTGTAACTCTATCGCGAGCTGATTTAGAATCTCTTCGACGGGCAGGACCTCTGCGATTAGAGCGAGCAGTGCAGAGTGGAAAAGTAGAAGTTAGTGTTGACTCAATACGTGATTGATCACATGCCGCAGTTACACACGGCAAAGACAAATTTGAGCAAAACGCTGCGATTTAGATGATCCGTTTGTTTGTGGGACTTTGCTCACCCGCGTCCACCGGCATCTGCTGTAGCTGCGGGACTTCTTTCATCAGCGCGGCGCAGTAGCGGCTAAGACCACCGCGGGCGGACAGCAGGAGGCGACACAGTCTTCTGTGCCAAGTGTGCGCTCTTTGCAGGCAGTCCTCGCTCGGCACATAAAAGCTCCCCTGGGGGGGGGAAGTGCCAAGTAGGGAAATGTCAGCCACGATGTAGGTCAGCGGTCAGCCTCTCCGAAAAAGGCCCTACACCTTCATAACCGCCATGTACACATACTTGAACTTTATAGCCGCCACGGAAACAGTTGTGATGGCCAGCTGCTGACCTTGCGTTTAAAAGTTGGCAAAGTCAAGTTAATTGGACGATCAAATAAGATGGGAGGAAAAATAAAAACGGCCCTTCAACGCGGCTTGCCGGGAAGCGCAAAGGCACATCGACATGTTCATGAAAGAGCAGCGGGATGAAAGGTGACCTTGTTCTTGACCTTGATTTTCACAACTAAAGAATGGCCAGAAAAGAGACACGTCATGCTTCCTTTTCATTCTTGAAATGGTGTCTGAATAACTGAAACAAAGATCAAGAATTAGTGCAAACTTTCGCCACTGCTCAACTGTGGCATGTGCCAAAGCAGGTTTTGCTCTCGTATAACCACGAAAACAACGCAGCGCAAACACGGGGGCAAAAAAACAAATGTCATTTTCTGACTGCTGGCAGCTCAAAAATCTTTCTTGGTTGTGTAAATTCATACTTGATGGGTAGGACAGGCCCTGCACACCTGGGCTTTTTAGAAAGCAGTTAGTTGTCCATAAAATCTCCCCGTTTAACACAGTTATGGTAAGAATGTTTGCTCTCCTGCTTAAAAAAATATATATATAATAATAATAACAACAACGGCTCATGCCTGGAGTATCGGCGGACATACTATAATTTACCCCAGGCAAGTTCAGACTCTGGGCCTATCATCATACGCGTGTGAGCTCTGTAATTGCAGCAGTGCGGGATAAGAAAACCAGAAAGGAACACCTGTATGTTTACTTTCAGAATTCTCTTTTTCTATGAACAGCCCGCGAGGCTTTCGAGTGACAGGTGAAAAACTAGCTATGGGTTTGTTTGAACTGGTCGCTATAGGAAAAACTATTTTTCGCTATTATTCCAAAAAGCTGTTGTTTTTTTTTTTTTTAAACTTGTAGAGAACTCCAAATGTGCAATAATGTCATGTATGCGTATCAATTAATCAGCCGCTGACTATGAATTTTCTACATCGTCAATGAAGGAAACACACAAAAACCTACTGGATCCCAAGTAGGAAGCTGCCCTTCCACCAAAACACTGACATTTCATCTTTTAAAATAGTGACTGTATTTCACACAAGCTGACGAGAGCTCAGTTAAAAAAAAAGAAAAAAAAAATCTCACGAAATAAAACTGAGCGAGTCGCAAGCTTTTCACCTGCAGCTACGTGATACGTGGCGCTTGTGAGCACAACTCATTACTGGGATCAAAAGAAGACATCGCGCCGCCACCCGTCCCCCTCCTCCTGGTCCTGGTCCAGAGCCAGAGCTTATTAAAAGGGGCCAGGCAGGGGTGGGAAGAAAAGCAAGAGGCGGCGAATGGGGCGCTCATTAAGATTTACAATGGAGATTGTGACATCTAAAGCAGGGGTCGGGAACCTATGGCTCACGAGCCATGTATGGCTCTTTTGATGATTGCATCTGGCTCGCAGATAAAACAAAATTTTCACTGCTCACATTCTGTTCAGGGCTGCAGTTGGCGGCAGGAGAAATTTGAATTGGATGATACTGGCTTACGTAGGCCGTTGCTGGGGAAACAGGTAAACGCCCCCTTTTGAATCAGCCCGCTCGGTCATTAGCTCAAAGCTAATCCTAAACGAATAAGATGGCGAAAAGAAAAAAAGATGACGAGTATGGTGGACTTCAGGACGAATGGACCGAAGGATTCACCTTTGTGGAAAGAACAGGTTCTGCGGTGTCTTAATTTGCAATGACAAAATACCACCGATGAAACGGTCGAATGTAAAGCGGCACTTTGACACGCGCCGTGCAACGTTCGCGTCAAAATAACCTGCGGGAGACAACAGAAAGGAAGCATGCAAGCTACTGAGCAGAGTGCAAAGCTAGCCAGCAGCAACTCCGCGTACGGACCCGGCAAGATGACTATAATTCCGCTAGCTTTGCTGAACCATCGCGAGGAACGGAAAACCTTCACGTTAATGCTCTCGGTAATGCAAGTAACGCCAGATGGATAATGTATCAATGTACCATCTTCAGAGCAGATATTTAGAGGTCCATTTGTTCCACTCATCATCAGAGTTTGTTTTTAAGCCCTGAAATCTGCGTTGGCGTCTGGTTTTGGAGCCTTAAGTGACCAATTGCGATGATGACACTCATCCAAGATCTCTAATTCCAATGCGGCAGAGCCTTAATGCATCGTTATGGCGGCCCCGCGCAAATGACATCCTAATCCGTCAAGTCTGCCGTCTCCAAACAGATCACACCGCCATCGCCACGTGGCGTCGGCAAGCCGGAAGAACCTCCCTACGTCAACGGGGGATGAATGTTATCTTGGACTGCACTTCCCGAGCCATACCTCCGAGATGACGGGCTTGCAGTACCCTGCTCCAAAGACGAGGTTTTCCACAGAGACGGCCGCTTGGTCACCGGTGCTCTCCAGTGAACCTTTTCCCAGCCAGGAGCCCTTTCCTGTGTCAGCAAAGCTGTACGGAGAGGACACATGCTCAAATACAGAAAAAAAATATATATATATTCTGCTAACTGCGAACTTTGATCGCCTCCTGATATTATGCAGTAACTTGGTGAATTAGGCCCATACGAGAAGACCACATCGAAAGAGCCGCCGCGCTTTGCGCCGTTTTGCAGCCACGCCAATGCGGAACGGGCCTCTTTTACTCTTACCTGATCAGCGGCTGATGTAAGGCAACCAGTGAGGCGTGGACGGAGACGGAAATGACGGACAGGTGGAAGTAGTCGAACATGACGGGAACATGATGATGCAAGCCTCTCTGCGGGTGGAAGTGGAGATTGAGGGTGCGGCTGCTGATCAACGGGACCGAGACGATGTCGGCCAACCTGGGAAATTAGGCCATCAATGATGAGACGTGTGTGACTCTTAACGGTTCCGCGCGAGTTGTTGATGTTTTCCCATTGTCCCCAAAACAGGTATGACACCTACTGCTGCTCGTTGTCAGTGAAGTGAAGATCCAGCTTCAGCTGGAAGTCCACCTCGCTGAGAGCCTCCCCCAGCTGCAAAGACAAGAACACTCAGAGCGAGCAGACCACTGCCAAGACATGAGCAACCATCCCATGGGAAATTGCGACGTTCTGAAGACGGCGCATTCATGCAGCATCTGGATTCCACCTTATTTGTAACCGGAGCTGATGAAATTCAAGTCCAATTAATTTCTTCAAGGAAATAACTGCTAACTTTCTCCCTTGTGAATGTCTTAGCTTCGTTTGTTTGTAAATGCTTTTAAATGTATTTTTAAGGATGTGAATCACATGAAGTGACCTTGTATATGAAATGTGCTTGATAAAGCTGCCTTGCCTAAGTGACGTCCTGCGTGTCTTCTAATCTTATGCAAAGTAAGTGAATTCACGTGCCATAAAATCAAAGGTGCCCAGCATAGGACAAAAACAAAACGGCACGAAAGAGAAGCAGATGGGACTGCTGGGAGTCTTTTGAAGGTTGAAAATGAAGCAGGCGTGTTAATAGATTCACGGCGATCAGAGTGCAACCCCGCTGCCTCCCACACAACAGTAAACACAGCCATCTTTGGTCGTGCGCATCGACGGCGCCATCGATCCGGCACGAATCGCGCGTACGCGACGAGGGGGGGGAAGCGAGTGGCTATTTTTGTCTGTGCCATCGCTGGGTACGAGCAACAGATAACCTCCGGAAGGTTAATGAGCCAAGAGCCTTTGGGAGAGCTCGCCGCTGACACCCGACATGTCTTTACGCTCCTCTGTCTTGCATAAAAAGTCGACTTTTATGCGGATTTATATTCTGCACATCCCAGCATTTGAAATTCAACTGCTACACTCATTTTTAGGAACAACATGTACCGTACTTATTGGAAAAAAAAATTACTAGTTACAATCTGTACATTCCTGCTGCTAATAGGGGTTTGCGTGAGTCACACCCACGCTGACGCAGAACGCTAAATGACGCGCGCAAGGAAATGAATGATGCACAGTATTAAAAGTTGAAAATGCGGCTCTGCGGCAACATGAATCACAGTAAAAAGGTTTGATGGGGAACCGAAGCAGGTGCACAAAATAATGTTTTCAACTCAAGGGCTGCAGTTTCAGAGGATGACAACGCCAAACTAATTCATTCACACCTATGCGCAATTATGCCTACTTTCCACTAACAACCCTGGCTAAATTCAGCTCATTAATAGCTGAAGCCGTCAACGGTAAACCACTTTCGTAACATTTCTTTTTGTGTGCCATCCCCAAAAGTCAGTCACGGACGGAACGAACCTGGACAGGAGACAAATATGTGCCCGTGTATGTGCGTGCACAAGATGTCATGTTTGACTCACCCTCTCTCCATCCAGCAGCAGATGCACTTTGAAGAGCATGCTGTCGTTGACGGTGATATCCTCATTCCGGTAAAGGATCTGAAATATGCGGCTGAACACGGTGCCGTCGTACACCCCCGGGGAGCTGAAGCTGCATTCGCCTGCTGCGCGACAAGACGACATACATTACAACCGGCGCAGGCAACCCCTCGTTCACTGAACATGACAAGGTTGAGCTGCAGAAATGCAAATGGAGTCCCATTGAATGTGTGGCGATCATTTGAATTGATAAATTCATCAGACTGTGGACTTCAACAGTCAGAGGATGTTGTGACTGGCGTGCATTTGTCATAACTTGTGACACAACAATTGTGTTATCTTAACATTTTATATTACGTTACCATTCATGTTAAAATCAGAGTTGTTTGTTGGCCTGTTTATACTCTACTAACACGGCAACTAATCATAATGTGGATACGTTGGTGCAAGCAACACCACAGGCAGGACAAAATAATTACTTTTTTTTTAAAGTCTACACACCCCTGCAAACACTTTCCCCCCCCCCAATCATTTACTTTTTCCACCATTAAGTTGACTTTCAACTTCTTCAGCAGTCAGTGTTAGTGTGAATTGAGTTGTACGGGTTGTAGGTCACATGATAAACGGAAGGACATGTTTTGAAATGACTCATCTCGGTCTCACGTTTTACTATCACACGAGCCTGGCATTTAAACAGGGGTGTGAATGCTTTTTTTTTATCTCCACTGGCCCCTTTCAAAGGACCGAATGATGCTTAAATAAGTACATCAAAATATAAATACGACTACATGAGTGGAGTTTCTGATGCATTACTTGTACTGGGCTCCAGCTAAAGCTTCGCATGTATTTATCGCTATATATTTTGTTGACATATCTGTTAAAAAAAAACAAAAAAAAAAAACAGGGTATATACACACTGCAGACCTGAAGCAGATGAATGACAGGCTTTTTAAAAGGTGCAAGAAACAAAACAGCAGTTGTGCAAAAACAAAAAACTGCGCCGCTGTCCAGCTGCGAGGCTTTTGAAATGTCCCCGCAGAGACGGTGTGCCTGTTTTGGTCTTTATAGTCTGCCCCTCTCCACGGGGCTTCCCTCCTGATAATGCTGTGGCTCCCTGTCGCATTAAACAGCCCCAAACCGAACGGCTGGGTGCGTGCGAGCGCGACTCTTGCCAAAGACTTGTTGGACGTCAGAAGGAGACTATCGTGCCCAGTGTGCTGCCGTGTCAAATAATGTCAACAGATCCTTCATAAATCTTAAATTCCCAAAATGAGACTTTCATAATCCTTCAAGAACGCTTTAATCTGCTGTTTAAACTGAATAATGACACATCACAAATAGAAATAGTTTACGATTTTATATATTTACATTTTGTTGTGTACGACTATATTTTGACTAGACTGACTCCGCAGCACGGAAGTGAAACGTGCACCATTCACACATCAAACACTTAGTGCATAATGAGACGCTTCCGTCTGTACACGTTTTGGGGCGTGATCGCATCCTGCCCTTTAAAACTTGCTGAAATGCCCCGAAGCTTTAGTCACAGCGATTCTGTGCCAGAAATAATCTGCTTATCGCCTTCGGTATGCTACATCTGCTGTGTATCACAGTGTGTGTATATTCGTGTGTGCGTGTGTCCATCCTATCAATAAAACCCACAAAATCTCAGAATACAATTGCTCTTCATGATACTATGACATCTCGCCTTGAAAATGATGATGTTATTGCGAGCGAATGGCCATCATGAAATGCTTCAGTTGAGTGTTTGGCGCAATCCGCCATACACACGATGAGCTTGTCTAGGGCCCAATAACTCAAATGTCAAGCGTGCACTTTGAGAGCGCGAGAGAGATCACAGTAAAGGATTATTTCCTGTTGCCGCTTCTGCGCCGCCATCAGCCCGCCCACGAGGTGAACGGGTTTAATTCATGACCTTGTGTGGCAGACTTAGATCTCAAAATGGATAAAAGTGTGCACTTTTACTTTATAAAACAGGCGGTGAATGTATTACTTGTTTATAAAATGACAAATCAAAATTGGAGTGAGGCAAATTTGGACCTCAATGTGTAAATTATCTTTTCATTTTTGTGATGCCTTTCTGGTGAATGCTTACATTTTGTAAAATGTAGATACTGTACAATTGTACCATATCATGTAGATTTTTTATCTCATTAATTTAGTTTTCAAGATTATACGGGCAAATTATTTTTATATTTGCAGATGTGTCTACTGCATGCACCACATACCGACGGTAGATCTCCGCACTCAGGGCCCTCTTTTCATAGACAGGCACACGTGCACTTGGTGTAAAAACTGGCACATTAGTTTCATTAAGGACAAATGTAGTTATGCGTGTTTTATTACACACCCCCAGCGCACCTGAAAATTTGGATGACAGAAAGCAGACTGCCAAATTTGAGCAGCTAAAAATAGGTCGAAGTCAGGGCACAGGTGGTGGGTTTTGATCGAGGCGAAGGCATTCGGAACACCACGGGACATAGGACCCTTATAGACAAATGAAGTACTGCCTACATAAATGAAAACACAGTCTATATACTGTCTTTATGTTGGCTCACTTTTAGACTCGGGATCTCAACAAGTAGTCACACCTGAGCACAGCCCCCAGGTCGCCATGGTAATGCTCGTCATACTTTGTATTCATAGTGGCTCATTTCCAGGACACAAAAACACTCCCACAAAGCAGGCTCATTTCAGCAAGGTCCACTTTAAATAAAGCATGTCACAGACTTAGATACCTCAGATATTGACCTTATTGAAAGAAATGCATTAGTCTCCTTGAAACGAATGTTCAGTAATTTACACTCTGAGGCAAAAGCACTATTTAGGATTTATGTCCTCTTTATAATCCCACTCAAACCATAAACTAATGAGGGAAGAAAATCGCGTCTCACCAGTGGTATTTGTGACTCCCTTTTCCTGTCATCTCACCAGGATTAAGATGAATCAAAGTCATAACCGCCGTGACCCCCGAACCCGCCACACACACACACTGCTTCAGCACACTAAATTCTAACATCAATATCCTCAAAAAGGCTTGCAATAAAAAGTGTCCTCTAAGGAACAATGACTTTTTTAAGAACCAGGTCCTCATAATCCACACATTTGCAGTCCCTCACACACGCACACGCACACGCACACGCACACGCCAGTTCGAAGAAGCTAAAAATAACCGTTATTACTGTGAATCATTATTGGCAGTGAATTGGTTTCCTGGATTGCTGGAGAAGCGGATTGTAAGGCTCGGGAAGGTTCAGCAAGAAAGAGAAAGCAAGATGTCAAGGATGTAAATTGAGCGCACATGATTGTATTTCAGATTTGCAAAATGTAGATTGTGCAGAGGAGAAAGTCGTCACACGGCTTCAGAAACTACTTGAAAGCGCTTTGATTGCTGCAGAAATATGCTGAGCTCTATGTGGTTCTGATAAGAGATAACCAAAATAGCAGGTTAAGGATTATGCCGGTACAAATCAGAAAATTCCTGGTGATGTCGAAAGATGTGATCCTCAATCACTGGTACTCACCTGCATTATCTTGCGTTGTCACTATTAATCTGTGGAGCACCCGAGGGGAGACCTTCAACCCTGTTCGTACCTGGTAGAACCTGATGGAGCGGAATTAGACAAATGTGACAACAATTTCATGGAATTAAAAAGCATGCATAAATACTAACACTAACCATAAAAAACATGTGATTAAAAAAAGAAACTCATGTTCAACCCAAACATGTTAATGTCAGTTTAAAGGGGTTCAAGATGCTTTATTTACATGGCACTCCAGATGATGGGAATTCAAAAACAGCAGCAGGAGCAGATCAAATCGATGCCGCGTTACGCAAAAGGAAAGTCTCGGCTCTCTGGGGATACGTTGTGCAATTAGGGAGAGCAAATTGTGGCAGTTACGATAAGTGTCGCCTCATTGCTTTCGTGACATTTCCAAAGATGAAAGCTTTGACAGAGACATGCATAGAAAAAAAAAAAAAAAGCTTTAAATGGGTCAACGGACACATAATAGACGGTGATGGCGTGACATGGGTCAATACGAGTTGATGGTTTGACAGTGAGATACAAATCGTACGGGGGAATTTCGTATCCATCCTCTTTCGGTGACTGTATGAATTGCCGCAAGTATATTCACATTTTGTCAATGACATAATTAGGAAACCGCTTGGAGGCAAAGGACAGATTCATACTAAATGACATCGCACAGCGCAGCAGTCATAATATGAATGTGACGTGAATTGCGATTGCCTCGCTTCCATTCGAACTTCATCAGAACATTTAAATCGGCCAGTGTACGTTGGCTGGTGCAGCAGACCTTCAGATCAGGATGAAGATTGGTTTTAGCAACGGCATTACTGTGTGGGCCAAATGCTATTAGTATTCCTCAGCCATCCTGACGTTCAGATTTAATTATGGCACGCGTTTGCGTTATGCTCTCTTTATCTTCAAAAAGCATGGCATCTGTTAAACATTGTCATCATGAGAATTCTTACAGTCAGCTGAAAGGATTAGTAGAATTACATTTTCCCCGTTTCATGATTTGACTGCAATTTGATTTGCCCCGCCCCCAGCTAAGGTTTAAGATACGTGACAAGGCTTCAATCTCATACCTAATATGTGCAGTAATTGGGCGTCAGCATTGAGAGAGGTGAAAGGTTTTGACATTTTCATTTGCAGACAAATTGGATTTTAAAGTTCACACCGTGGGTCAGTTATCGGTGATAGCCATTCGTTAATGACAATCACAGCCGTAACTGCAACGCTGAACGAAGATGATTTTACTTCTGCACCACCGTACTGCGATGTGCGGGTAGTCAATCTAATGTACGAACCTTCGCGCTCAGTCGGCTATAGGTTGGGGTACAACATTCCTTACCCTCTCTGGAAAAGATCCACGTTATGAAACTTGTGCAACTCTACGGAAAACTCCAATGTTCCCTGTACTTCAGACATGATATCATCCCAGTCATCACCTGTTAAAATAGAACATACAGGAAATTTAAAAAAAAAAAAAAAATCCCTTGCACAAAACATTTCAGTTCTACCATAACATAACGTTTCTATTGGGATTGGGCTATCCAGTGTTGGGCTGTGTTTCACAATGACCAAAATAAAAAAGCTTTGTATCCATACATTGCCTTTTGCAATGTTCTCTCTGTAGCAGGGGTGTCAAACTCATTTCACATTGTGGGCCACGTACGGCCTCGGTAGATGCCAAGTGGGCCGGACCATTAAAATGATACCATACTCTGCTATAACTAACCAAAATGATATGTCTCTGATCAAAACAGTATATCTCCTACCGGATACTCCATGAATTGCACCTTACTAAAAATATACATTCCGTGTCTTTTATGCAGTTTTTTCCACTTTTAAATGATCCTGCGGGCCTGATCGAACCTCCTTGGGGGCAGGTTCCGGCCCGCGGGCCGTATGTTTGACACCCCTGCTCTACAGCTTTCAAAATTAGCGCCCTGACAAATCACAGCCGAAATCCGCACACTATCACAGACAGCCTGAGGGCCTAACTGGCACAAACAAAGCATGTTTGTTTTCTGTTTAACCCACAACATCCGGAACCCATTTGGATTAAAACAGAGACATGGATTTATATTCTCCAGGGCACCGCTAAAACGCATCGAAGCAAATAAACTCTGCTGCCACTTAAGAGATGGACAATGCTTAGCATTAAGTGTGTCAAGGACAAGTGTGATTGAGGACCCAAAGTGCAGGGCAGCAGTGAGGCAAGGTGGGTGCGCTCTCCAAAAACGGACAATTTTGGAATCACCGAGAAACTAAATGAATTGAATGCATCGAAACCTAATCGATTCGATCATGGCAACTGCTTTCTCTCATTTTGCTGAGTCTGCACTTGCCTGCACGACGGCGGACACTTGCGGCGCCAAAGAACAGAAGCGCTGCGTTCAAAGACAAAGATAAAAATACTGTACTTTGCCGGTGTTGGCTTATTCCTTCCTTTCTCCATCGTTTCCATTCATTTTGCTGCCTCTTCTCCAGAAATGTGTTCGGTGGGCAGGGAGCAGTAGAGTGCACATTGTGTACTGCCAAAGAAGACTTAACACGGTCTTCCCCCCCAAAACAATCTATCTTTGTCATGTGCCGGTTACATAACACACAGGCAGACTACAACACTGACTTTATTATTAGGTTCAGCTTGAAAATGTATAATAAGTTAATTATGTCAGCAAAGTGCCCACGCTGACAACAAGAAAGGCCTGCGACTGCCGTTCATTCACCCGCGCTGGCCTGTGATGCCTTTGTTGATGACTGGAGCAAGAAAATATCTCCTTGTGTTATTTGTGGGCTGTAAATGTATCTTCTTAAGAAAAGAAAAAAAAACTGCACTTTAAAGTGTTTCTTGTTTCAACATGACAGGTATTATTTTGGTGTGAAGCAGATTAGATAACAGCGTACAGTCACATTTCTTTTGTGTTTCTTTACATTGTGACACAAAAACAAATCAAATACCAATATTCCAAAACGACTTTAAAAGTCCACGTGGATATTAGTTTGCCTAGTTTGCGGGTATTAATTTTATGCAACAATGCAAAAGTGACTGGAAAGTCTTGACTTCTCATGTGGTTTGATCATTTTTGCATGATTACACCGAAATCGTGATTAAAATGCTTCTGGCTATGAACTAAATAGTTTTGGGTTGAGGTCATTGTGGTATAATTATACTAGAGGACACTGCAGACCCTGTTTAAAGCTTTTTTTTGTTTGTTTTTTTTAAACCGCAAGCTTACATTTTGAACAATTGTATTGCCTTTGTGCCACGCGAACACAACAGCTGCTCTACCCACCTGAACAAAGCCATGCACTTCCCAGAAACTAAAAGAGGGGACAATGTGTCCTTGGCAGGAAAACACTGAGCCAGAAATCATGTGATGTCATAATCTTTGCTGAACCCCCCACCCACAAGCTCGACGGTGGCGTATTAAGTTCTTAGCCGTTATGACATTACAATGCAGTGAGTGCCTGAACATGTCACGGCCAACACCAAGCAAATCGATCCTTTAGTGGGCAAAGGGACGTCATAACGTGAACCGTTTTCTCGACCTTACACTCACAGCTTGTAGTCAGCCGCCTCGTTGCAAACTTGTCGGCGCGCCATTCCATCTGTCATGCGCTAAGATAGGCATGACAGCGACTATTTGTTCTCTGCCTGTTGCAAGGCACCGACGTGATCTTCTGCTCTCCTGCTCTGCTGTTGCAATCCCAGCAGCAGAAGTCACAGAAGAGGCCGCACAAATGAATGCAACACGTTACCTCATTGTGATTACAGTCCCCTATATTCTCAGACCGTTGATGTTTGGAACTGTGGCATCTGTGCAAAAATAATAGGACTTGCAGTCATTTTATACGGCATTATAACTCTGGTCATCCTTTCGTTATTTCATTCATTGACAAAGAACATAGTGTCATGATGTCTCGTTGAAATTTAATTTCCTCCATTAGCATGATGACAGCATGACCATTTAAATAAATGTGTTGGTGAGCCATGGGTCAAAAATGAAATAATTCAGTCATGTGCTGGACAGTGATCCTCTGGTGAATAGCGAAAACTGATAACCACACAAAAATGGCTTGCAGGTGCTTATAGATGCCACAAGATGGCATCAAAGCGCGTTTTGTCCATTAGACAAGGCTTTGGCCCGAGTAACTATAGTCCCTCCCTTGTTTTCTGTGTTCTAGTTTGGGCATATTTGAAGAGTACGCTATTTTAACCAAACTTCGGGTACACTTGGAGGAAGAATCCATTTGAATTGCATATTTCCCAAAAATATGTCATTTATTTTATCGTCATATTGAGGAAGGTTGTATGGGAATTGTGGTGCATTGTGCCAATATGTGATGTTTGTTCGCACTGACACTTGCCCAGTTTTGACAAAAACTTTGCTTAACATCAGGCAAACTGCTGAGAAAGGACATGTATTTTGCTGAGGACCTCTCTTTTTTCCACTTTTACAGGACTTAATAAGAAATTGCAGTTACAGTAGCACCGGCGAATCACAACTAACTGAGCATCGTCAGGCTTTGGTGGAGGTCTTCTACTTTCATGACTTGACTTCTAGTTAACTCAACAGTGATGCATTTGAGTAAAAGATGCGGAAAGTTGCACACATTACATCGACAAGCTTCGTTAGCTTCGGCCAGAAATAGCTTCCAGTGATGTACAGTATTAGTCATCTGGAATCATTGTCTATAATCAGACCTTCCGTCTCTCATGCAGCCTGCCTTGCGGGGATGTCTGCTCTGTACCGTCCGAACGCGCACGGAGCGACCCAGATGCACGCACACAACCGAATGCAGACAGAGCAAAGTCCGGCATCGTTACCTTAGCAGTGATGCAGGAAATGAGATGATCTCGTGAGTTAATGCGGATGGATGCGCTCCTGTGCAATGTTTATATCTCCGCTCGCACCGCTACTGCTGCTGCTGCCGCTGTTGCTGTTGCCATGGTTATTCATCCAGACCCTGCGTGTACTGCAGTCCCCCCGCTTTCCCTCTCTTGCGCGTGCTCTATCGCTCTTCATCAATCTGTGTCTCTCCCATCCACATGGAGGAGAGGAGGAGGAGGATGAAGAGGAGGAGGAGGAGGAGGGGATGCCAAATTCGGGCGTCCGTTGCTTAATCCGACTTTGTCCTCGCCCCGAAATCGTGATTAAAATGCTTCTGGCTATGAACTAAATAGTTTTGGGTTGAGGTCATTGTGGTATAATTATACTAGAGGACACTGCAGACCCTGTTTAAAGCTTTTTTTTGTTTGTTTTTTTTAAACCGCAAGCTTACATTTTGAACAATTGTATTGCCTTTGTGCCACGCGAACACAACAGCTGCTCTACCCACCTGAACAAAGCCATGCACTTCCCAGAAACTAAAAGAGGGGACAATGTGTCCTTGGCAGGAAAACACTGAGCCAGAAATCATGTGATGTCATAATCTTTGCTGAACCCCCCACCCACAAGCTCGACGGTGGCGTATTAAGTTCTTAGCCGTTATGACATTACAATGCAGTGAGTGCCTGAACATGTCACGGCCAACACCAAGCAAATCGATCCTTTAGTGGGCAAAGGGACGTCATAACGTGAACCGTTTTCTCGACCTTACACTCACAGCTTGTAGTCAGCCGCCTCGTTGCAAACTTGTCGGCGCGCCATTCCATCTGTCATGCGCTAAGATAGGCATGACAGCGACTATTTGTTCTCTGCCTGTTGCAAGGCACCGACGTGATCTTCTGCTCTCCTGCTCTGCTGTTGCAATCCCAGCAGCAGAAGTCACAGAAGAGGCCGCACAAATGAATGCAACACGTTACCTCATTGTGATTACAGTCCCCTATATTCTCAGACCGTTGATGTTTGGAACTGTGGCATCTGTGCAAAAATAATAGGACTTGCAGTCATTTTATACGGCATTATAACTCTGGTCATCCTTTCGTTATTTCATTCATTGACAAAGAACATAGTGTCATGATGTCTCGTTGAAATTTAATTTCCTCCATTAGCATGATGACAGCATGACCATTTAAATAAATGTGTTGGTGAGCCATGGGTCAAAAATGAAATAATTCAGTCATGTGCTGGACAGTGATCCTCTGGTGAATAGCGAAAACTGATAACCACACAAAAATGGCTTGCAGGTGCTTATAGATGCCACAAGATGGCATCAAAGCGCGTTTTGTCCATTAGACAAGGCTTTGGCCCGAGTAACTATAGTCCCTCCCTTGTTTTCTGTGTTCTAGTTTGGGCATATTTGAAGAGTACGCTATTTTAACCAAACTTCGGGTACACTTGGAGGAAGAATCCATTTGAATTGCATATTTCCCAAAAATATGTCATTTATTTTATCGTCATATTGAGGAAGGTTGTATGGGAATTGTGGTGCATTGTGCCAATATGTGATGTTTGTTCGCACTGACACTTGCCCAGTTTTGACAAAAACTTTGCTTAACATCAGGCAAACTGCTGAGAAAGGACATGTATTTTGCTGAGGACCTCTCTTTTTTCCACTTTTACAGGACTTAATAAGAAATTGCAGTTACAGTAGCACCGGCGAATCACAACTAACTGAGCATCGTCAGGCTTTGGTGGAGGTCTTCTACTTTCATGACTTGACTTCTAGTTAACTCAACAGTGATGCATTTGAGTAAAAGATGCGGAAAGTTGCACACATTACATCGACAAGCTTCGTTAGCTTCGGCCAGAAATAGCTTCCAGTGATGTACAGTATTAGTCATCTGGAATCATTGTCTATAATCAGACCTTCCGTCTCTCATGCAGCCTGCCTTGCGGGGATGTCTGCTCTGTACCGTCCGAACGCGCACGGAGCGACCCAGATGCACGCACACAACCGAATGCAGACAGAGCAAAGTCCGGCATCGTTACCTTAGCAGTGATGCAGGAAATGAGATGATCTCGTGAGTTAATGCGGATGGATGCGCTCCTGTGCAATGTTTATATCTCCGCTCGCACCGCTACTGCTGCTGCTGCCGCTGTTGCTGTTGCCATGGTTATTCATCCAGACCCTGCGTGTACTGCAGTCCCCCCGCTTTCCCTCTCTTGCGCGTGCTCTATCGCTCTTCATCAATCTGTGTCTCTCCCATCCACATGGAGGAGAGGAGGAGGAGGATGAAGAGGAGGAGGAGGAGGAGGGGATGCCAAATTCGGGCGTCCGTTGCTTAATCCGACTTTGTCCTCGCCCTCCACAGCATCCAGTCCACTCGCAGAGGCGACCTTACGGCTGCAGTATGAATAGGAAAGCATGCAGACACGGCGGTGTGTGTATGTGTGTGTGTGTGTGTGTCCTGCTGCTGCACTCTCGCATCGCGCATCCAGACAGCCAACCAGCCGGCTGACATCAGAGCCAGCCCACTAAAAGCTGAAGTGAGCCTTCAAATGAGGAAGGAAGGAAAAGAGACAAATCATGCTCGCCGTGCGTTGATGCAACCTGTGAAATGCAACACAGTAGATTAGTTGCAAAAAGAGTATGGCAACAATCCAAATCAGAAATTAAGAGCAGTAGGAGAGTACACTGCTGGGTCGATCGTAACCAGCCCGCCATCCAATCTGCTGCATCAAAAATAATGAAAAAAGTTGTTGAATGAATACCTCAATGTGAGTGTCAATCAAATACGGACATTCATATCTTTGTAGAACCAGGATTTTGTCATTAAGTAAAACCCAGCATTAAGGCTACATTTCTTCCCCCATTTTGCCTTCTGTAAACAGTACTAATGTGAGCCTCTAGACCAGTGGTTCTTAACTTTCTTAGAGGTACCGAACCCAACCAGTTAATATGCACATTCACCGAACCCTTCATTAGTGAAAAAAGAAATAAATAAATCTATTTATTTAATTGTACGACGTACTATCACGACAGTCACACGTTAACAACTAAGCGAACTAAATTTCCCACAGCACTGATTGGACAAGCAATGTCATGTGATCATCCGCAGCCAGTGATGGCCAAGCGGGCGTGTCATAACTAATTGACATGCTGAGTCGCGTGTGTCTTACCCTCCGTGGCAGAGGCTCCGTCGAAGCCCTGAGACCGATTCACCGAACCCCTGGGGTTCGATCGAACCCCAGGTTAAGAACCACTGCTCTAGACTGAGTGAATTGGTGAGTTCAAGGTCACCGCAAGTGACAGTTATGAAAGAACTCGTCAATGCACATAATGGTATTGCGGGGGAAAACATCTCATTTTAAACATAGAGTAGCAATTCAATTCAATTAAGCAGCACATCTGGCTGATGGCTCATTCGCCTGACTTCCGCTTAGGCAGCGTGGGCTCAATTTCCACACTGAATGCGAGTGCAAAAGGTTGTCTGTGTCTATATGTGCCCTGTGACTGACTGACAACCAATCTTGGGTATGGTCTGCCTTTCGGGATATAGGCTCCAGATTCTCGTGACCCTGATCAGGATCGGCGGTATAGAAAATAGACAGGTGCACAGTAGATGGATGGATAAACAACACATTCCAGTTGATAGATTAAATGATTGACGTATTTGGCGCTTGTGCTGCTTATTCAAGGTCCGTGACGCAACAACTTATTAGCGTTCGTTCATAGCGCTCTTCCTCCCGTCTTCACCTTGCTTTTAAAAAGCCAAAGTCAATGGCAGCTTTTCCCGCATGGCATTCTGCCATCGTCTTGGAGCACTCTTGATTAAGGATGGAGCGCTATTGATTTTTTTTTTTTCTTTTCCCAAATGTCCGACATACTACGAGGATGAAAAAGCGCGGCAGAATTTTCTAAGGGTTTAGGGCGTCGACTTCCAGGTCATCCAAGGGTAATAAAACAAGATAGCAGGAACTACTTTCAATCACATTTTATTAGAATCTAATGTTATTAAATAATATTTCTGTATGCCTGACAGTTATAAGGCCGTGCGTTTGAATTCATCCTGTAATTCTGGCTTTCACACCTCTAAAGTCAATCTGAGAACGTTTTTATGGGCATTTTTAACAAACTTTGCCAAAAAGTGATATTTTGGGGAATTTTGCAAACCCCAACATTTATGCAAGCTTTACCACGGTTACTTATGCCAGACAAAAATTGGTGTCTAATTTCATGATGAAGCAACACTAAACATACCACGGCGCTAACTTTCTACTAAGTCAGAAGAGCTGCACATCCAACAAATGCATTGCCACATTGCAACAGAGCCCACTGACCTGGATGCAGTTCAACTCGTAGATGTGACCGCGTAACCTTCGGAGTTTACGTGTGCGCCGACTATTGTGACTTTGACATTTACAGGGAAGATCCAGCTGGACTCCAGCTCAAGGGCGGAGCTCGTTACATCCTCGGGTCATGAGTGTGCAAGTCATGGGGTCTGATGGGGGGGGGGAAAAAAAAAAAAAGCACTTATTGTTGTTGTTGTTTTTCTTCTTACTGCTGGCTCTGTCTGTGCTTGCACCAACTCTCAATTATCTTAACTGGATACATGGTCGCATAGGGGTCAGCCGCTGTACTATCGCCTCCCTCTTTGCTTTCAAACCCGCTATCCTTGGTCATTATATTGTCTTCTGGTAAAATGGCTCACGCATTTTCAAAAAGCCTGTCTTTGAAGAGGTTAACAGCGCTCAGTTTTGATTGAGACTGTGAGACGGTTATTGCGCTTTTGGTTTGCATCGGTGTAGAAACGCGAGACCCAAGTTGTACGCTTTGGAATAACCGCCTTGTAAAATCCACAATATCATTTCTTTTAAAGATCAAAACGGTCCTTTCCTGTGAAGCAGGTGTTGCGAACCCCAAACAAATTCACGCCTTAAAACCAGAAATGACATTTGCGAAGGCCTTTGGCGGCGTGCGTGCGGGATGGCTTGATTAAGCGCCTGTTGACAATGGGAGCTTTTTGCAGAGGGTCAACAAGGAATGCCAACCAGTTGGCCCAATCCTGTAATTGAGCTTTTTGGAGCGTGTTTAGCGTTCAGTATGAATGGTGTGTATTCGCACACACATGTGGCATGCGTCGTTAATAACAAGGCGAGTTCATGTCAACGCAACAGGGCGACATGCATTCCTCTGGGGAATTGATGCCGACACGCGATTATAAAATGCACGTATCATCACCGGCGCGCTGCTTCTTCACTATTACAAGGACAATTATTAAGAGAATCACACAGACCGCACGTATCATTAGGGGGCACCCAAGAGAGACAGGGAAAAAAAAAAATAGAACCAGTTTACACACATTGGGCCTGGGGCTCAAGCATCTTTTTAAGTGCGGTAATAAAACGTTGACACCACCTCCCTAAGAAGTCCTGGCCAATGGGAGACCATTAAGCCAACTTTTATTTGGCTTCCGAAAACGCTTCAACAGCCCCTACGTGGCCGCTCGCACTCACTCGTCAACATGCGCAGGTAGGACCCGGCTGAGGGGTGGAGGATTCTATAATCGACTTCAGCTCCAGCATCCGTATTGCATCGCCAAGCCTCCATCGCAGTGAAACATGGTCTTCTGCTCCTCTGCTTTGACGAGGTAAATAACTCGCGTCAGATCAATGTCAGGGCGGGACATCACTCAGCTTTGTCGTGACCTTCCACAAAGAGGCACGGTGAAGGGTTATTACGAGTCTCTCTTTACATTTCGCCGGTTCACAGGCAAATATGTGGCGTGAAACTGAAAATCCTGTCACTTTGTAAAACACTTGTGCTGCTTAAGGAATAATGGGAAATGAAGTAACAAGGGGTATGCGATATAACTAGCTACATGAAAAGATGATTTTTTTTTGGGGGGGGGGGGGGGGTTGTCATGATGTTAAATGGCCTATGGGACTGCCCGGGGCCTTAGTTTAAGCACATTTCGAATACATGGAGGGACTTTTAATGAAGAGAATCTGTTTTTAACCTTATTTGGAAAGTTCTCTTAGCATCAACGCGAGGCAGTTTGAGGTCAGAGTCCATAGAAATAAATACGCACTTCTAAACTTTCTTGGGATCCAAATTAGCTGTGGAGCTAGACTTGAGGCTAACTAATTTATATTCTGCATTAAGGGCACTGTCCAACATAAGAGAATTCATTTTGTGTTGCGTGAAAATGAATGTGTCCCTTGCAGGAAAAAAAATAAAAAAATTCTCACATTCCATTTTTCAAGCAGTAAATATCACCCCTCAAAAAAAATTAGGTGTCAAGTGCGATGTGATAATGTGAGACAAATGCTCATGATAACACAAATGGTTCAAAGAAACGGTTGTCACCATCGCCTACGCAAGACCTCTTTCAAAAAGTGCCCACGTGGAAAAGTGAGAGATGCGGCGGTACCTTCGAGATGGACTGAGGTTAAAAAATAGACGCCAGTGAGACCCTGAGGGGGTTCCAAGATCTCTTCGGAGGCTGACGTCTGGCCCTGCAAAGACCTTGCTGCTGACAAGGCCATCAGTCATCTCCCTTGGCATTTCACTCACACGTCCATTCACACGTATCTGCAAGAGAGTTAACACCGAGAGAGGTTAGGCCCTTGACAACACCTCCGAAGCATCAGTCTCTCCGATGGATGAGCCGCAGGCTTTTATAAACAGCAGAGCTGTCTTTATCTCTGGGTGGATTTGGGAGTGGAAAGATGAAGCAAAAATAGAGGACGTTTTTAACGATACAGATATATTTGTTTATGGATATATTTATATTTGATATACATTATAAAATGTCATTTCACACAGTGACAATAAATTGTCAACAAATATCTTTCTCATGCAAATCATAATGTGTCGATCTGCTGCAAAATAGAGCCAACTGCTGCTGAGAGGGACTGACTTATCACCCCTCCATCCCCCTTGAGTATCGGTGGCTAGTATCGGCGGCATCTGTGAGTGGGTTGCAGTCTCGACTTACGAAGAGGCGTACTGCGTCATAAATAGACTGATTTTAAAATTCTTCCCCTTTTGTTAGGCCAAATAATTTGATTTAACACGTATTCCTCTGGTAAAGGTCCAGCTAACGTGCCGATTCACAGTCTCTCAATGAGTTGTCTTTCTTCAGTTCCAAATTCTTGTTTCTGTGCAGAAGGCAGCCATGTGCCGTGACGGCATGGACATACTTGCCTGTTTGCGTGGCCCTCCTGCTTGCTCCTGCACTTGGACGTAAGTCACTGCACAGTGCGATACACATCATATTTACAGAGCCAAGATTTGCTTTTGCACCTCTCGCATGCATTTTAATTCGATCACAGGTGACAAAGCCAGATCTGGTCCGTTACATCACTTCTTGTGGACCACTAAAGGAAATAAAGAGTGTCAATTGTTTTTTGCTAATTGTAGTTGCTTTTTTCATTTTGGTAGAAATCAGTCCCAAGATTTTTTTTGGAATTATTATTTCAAGAAATCCCATATAACATAAATTGAACACCTAAATATTTGGTTGTCACTACTTTCCATGACAGCTGATTTCAAATTCTATTTCTTGTTAATTATTAAGTGCATTGAAATTTGTGATACATTTAGTATGCTATCAGGCTAGTGATATATACTAAAAAAAAAACAAAAAAAAAACAGGCATTTGAGTGTATACATCATAAGAGACCATCACGGCCCTCAGTGAAAACATAACTATGTGGCTCGCAACATAAATTTGTTTGACAAACTCAAATAACACTGTGCAGGTGTACCTAAAAAAAGTGGTCAATGTATCTGATTCATGTTCAATCCTGTGCCATTGCCAGGTCATTCTCTTTATCGTAAACCACCAAGCAAAGGGTCCAAAATAGCTTCCATGCTTATGTGGTCTGTGTCGTGCAGAGGATTAAATCAGATTAAACATCCTCCTCCGACAGTCCCAACAATCCCATTGTCTGCACTTCTTTAGGGAAAGCCGTAAATGTATTATGACTGCAGTAAGCTGCAGATCGAGTGCCGCATTCATTTTTTTTTTTTTTGGTGTATTTCAAAAAGGTGCACGCGGGATGCCATGTGACCACTTCATTGTGGTCCATGGCACACTCGTTACGGTAATGACTGGCTTTGCCCGTGTAAAGTGACGGCAGATAGTAACTTTAACAACTTGAGTGTGCGGTTAGATAAGTGTTTAGTAGCAATAATTAAAAAAAAAAAAAAAAAAAAAAGATAAATTCCGTCTCACCACTGGTTTCATGTCTCAGCGTTTATGTGGGCTCGGTGAAGGGCTTCCAGATGCGTCTCTAGCTGACTCAGGTTGTTGACTGGGGTGACTTCAAATGGCTGCCACCAAAGGGATTCTGGGAAAATAGAAAAAAAAAAAACTATACTAAGCATTATCATGTATTGAATCCATTGTATTCATAGTCTCTAATTCACCCAAGAATTGAAGGGTGCAAGGAAAGCTAACGTTTTGCACGTACTCAAGACAATAAAAAGTGTTCTCACAAGGACATATCATAGTACTCTGCAGTCAACGCGCTCAACTCAAACTCATCAACGCCATACCTTCTGTCCCGTCAGAACTGGACTTTAACCGACTGGATGGCGATACTGTCTGCCCACCTATGAGAAGCGGACAGGATGATCTTCCAGGTGAAAAACTCTTTGTACACCATCCTCACTTTTATATATCGCTTGCCAGACAGTCAGAAAATCCTTGTGGATAGGCTACTGTACATAGTCGGCCATGTGAACCACTAGACCACCGGTGGCTAATGATTCTTTCTCCCTTTGCTTCATCATATTGATAACAAAAACGGTTAAAAAAAAAAAAACATATCCAGATTAACTACTGCATACTAGCTTGACACTAATTCTACGCATTTTGCCGCTTAGGTTTTGATTTGATCACCCAGTTCCAGCTGGATGTCATCCCCCTGAAAGGCGTGAGGAAGGTCGACGGCTCCACTCCTCTCCAGGTGGCCTACCGCCTGGACCGGGAGGCCAACTTTCAAATTCCAACCATGTAAGTACAATTTTTCAGCGTACGTTTTGAAAGAGCAACTAAAGACACACTTGAATGTCGCCGGGTGCGCCCCCCCCGTTGCAGGTGTTGCATTTATTACAGGTCGGCCACAGATGTTACTTCATGGCGAGGGACACATAATTGATCGTCGAAAACGTGTCTGAATGTATTTGGCATCTCGCGGGCCGCAAAGGGATGTTTTATGATGCATTTCAGTGGAGAAATTGGAGAAACAAACCAGAAAATAACGAGAAAAGGGCAAGATTTTCGCACAAACTACGAATTACAGTGCATCTTTTGGACCAAATCCGACGACATCACACAAAAACAGCTTCCTGGGGACAATTCTTGACACGTCTATTTGGTCATGATTTATCTTGTGCTGCATGTGCTCCTTTCAGGACTATGAAACAAAAGCGGGATAAATAACGAGTGCTGACAAAATCACTAGCTTCCTGTAAAAAAATTCACGAGCTCATAATTAAAGGTTGGACTTGGCAGTGTGTCCGGATTAGCTTGTTTTTTTTGGGGGGGGATGGGGGGGGGGGGGTTCTGTGGCATCAAATCAGCTGCGGTCTCCAACTGAGACCCACCAAAGGATCAGGATTAAAAAAAAAAAAGATTTAATCAAGCAAGTGAATCTGAACTCCTGGCTAACCTAAGAAGAAAAAGTCTTTCAGTCATAACCCCTCATTTCCTATAATTAGAAATTTGTGTCTTGCAGCCACTCAATACGTAGATCGCTTGGAGCTTATTGGTTTATCAGGAACTTGCGGCTTTCCCCGCAATAAAGGATACATCAAAACAGCAAACTGTTGAGTCACTTTGTCAGTTTTGCCTTCACGCTATAAGTGGTGTGTAATGTATGCCTTCCAATTGGGCGATTATCCCTTCATATTAGCGCCGCAGGCTTCGAGTTTTTACCGTAAGGCCCGATTTCACAGAAGTGAATTAAAGAGTTTGTTCAGGTAATGGCACTTTACATAATCAAAGCTGCCACCCTTCAGCCGCATTGACGCTGATCCTCCCGCAGGCCGGCTTGATCACAAGCTGTTACGTAACGCTTTGGCTGCACTGTCACTGAATGCTAATACGTGTTTACTGCCTCTCCAGTCCGGCGGCTGCTACTTTAAAGTTCGTCCTCGCCAAGGTGTTTGACTGTACATCCCCCCTTCTCCTTCCCCTTCCCTTCCATCTGCAGGGCAAATGCAGCACATGCTTGAGAGGTTCGAGCCTGAGGCTAACACTAGAAAGAGCTCCGATTGTTTTATTGGCTAACAGGAAACTTATTTTAGTGCCTCACCTTGGTTGTTTACAAGACGATTAAAAAAGAAAAAAAAAATTAAAAGCAGGCCGCAGAAATGAATTCACCACCTACTGTGAAAATGGCTCATTAAAAAAAAAAAATAGCACACACCGAGCAGAGGCTGGCCTAAGTAAAAGATTGAATTACAAGCACCGAGGCAGCATATATAACACGCAGCCTTCTATATTATCTCAGTGAATCTAATTTGGGTATTTCTATGCCAGGCGTGATATTTGAGATGATACATTAACTTTGACATGACTTTGAATAGGGATGAACGATTCAGAAACATAATCGAATCGCGATTTTGTTTTCCTCGCACGCTTGTAACTGTGGGAAAACGGACGAGTGAGAAATGTTGACTTCTTTGTACACTCGACACTTCATCGATTCGGCTGATTTTAAACCCCAGTTTCCTATCATGGACCTAGGCTGAACTTTCCCCGTGGATTCCCGGATGAGTATTCCTTCATGGTGACATTCCGCATGATCAAGAACACAGTGAGCAAGGTGTGGAACGTCTGGCAAATAGTCGACGAGGACGGCCGCAAGCAGGCCGGGATGAGGCTCAACGGAGACCAGCAGTCCCTGGAGTACTTCCTGACGAGCCCTGACGGCAACCTGCAGACCGTCACCTTCTCTGGCCTGTCTGTGCTCTTTAACACCAAGTGGCACAAGGTGATGATCGGCGTCGAGCGCGACCGGGTCACGCTCTACGTGGACTGCCAGCCCGTGGACCAGAAGCCCATCAAGGGCAAAGGGCCCATTAACACGGAGGGAGACACTCTTATAGGCAGGCTTGACGCTGATCCCGAGGCCTCCGTGGTGGTAAGCAATGTTATCGGGTTGCCTTTTGCAAATGATGCTTTCTGAACGCCCATGTCCAATTCAAGTATGAATTGCAGAATAAGTCAATGCCAACAACCTATAGAGGGCGCTGCACCAAAACAACTTCTGGCTTAGAGCTTTTTCAGTCAAGAAACCACTTTTGGTCACCGTCTGACTTAGGTGGGAATTTCTACGTAGTAAAAGACTTTTGATAATTAGAGAAGCACAGGTTAAAATATTATCCATTGAGGAAAAATAGATGAATTTGTTCCTTGTTCTGCTATTTGATTCAGATCCAAAGAGGTCATTTTGTCAAAGTGAACACAGCCGAATGTAACTGAACTGGACAGTCGACAAAGAAATTAAAGTTGACAACACACATCGGCACACCAAGCAATTGAGTCCCTACTGACGCACGATAACGGAAAAACTGCAAGCCTGTTATCTGGTTCCATATAGCAAATACTGCACAGTGTTATTTTGTATTGAATCACAAAAGCATGTCGTGATTGTCAAGGAAAAAGTGAATTGCCCCCCCAAAAAAGTTCTCTCAGGTCAATGGGGGAGGGGGAGGGGGGGTGTGTGTGGATATTTTGGTATTGATTGACACTACGTTAATGTATCATTTCAGTTTGAGCTCCAGTGGATGCTGATTCACTGCGACCCAAAGAGAGCCCGGCGAGAGAGCTGCAATGAGCTGCCTGCCACCGAGGTACGTGGGGCTCAGATGTGCTTTGCGTCTGCTGCGGTTTGCGGTTTTCGGCAAAGCCAGCCAGAGGCAGAGATGGAGCTATGCAAGCGTGTAACCGACACGCTGATGGAACGAAGAGGTGTAAACGAAAGTTAGCGAACGAGGAACCCGCGTCGTTATAAAATCTTAATTGGTTCGATGGGGAGAGTTACAAGAAGCTCGGCCTGCATGCCTTTGGTTAATTCTGCGTTGCTGTGGTGACCAATTCATTTTTATTTTAGCCTGAATTGGCATTGCATCTAAATACCAATGAACTTGACTGGACATCATGATGCGGATATCCTCCTGGATCTTTTCCATTTCATGCAAGCATGCATGCTAACCTGTGGGACAGCAATTATTTCATTAGCATGCTTGTTACTCCAACAATTTGGTCGCTCGGTGAACAACTTTTGCACCTCAGAAAAGCATCGAGAGGAGTGTCATAAAGGTGACACGGTAACTGTATCGACGTTTGCATCGACGCCACGTGTTCATTCATATGCATTTGCCTGATGAGCTGCAGGATAACACGTCGGGGGACGGTTGTTTATCTGGGCAATGGTTGTATGACGGGCTCTGAATTGAAATAAAAGCATGATAACTCACTGCAATGATTCTTAGCAGATGCGCTTCTGCTGGCTCTTAAGGGGATGAGGGGGTGTGTCTACTTTCACTAACTCTGCTATTTTTTTTCCGATTTCTCTGGCTCCTTCAGATGTTTGCCAATGCGGAGGTATTTATCTATCTACTCTACTTTGTTATGCTTAAACTCTGTTTCAATGCTTAGGTTGCTTGACCGCCTCGTTGCTTTGTGACAAATCCAATTCAGGAAGGTGGCTCGATGGTTGAAGTAAACATTTGTACATTTGCACACAACAGCTAATTGGCAATATTCATTTCAGATGTCATGATTTGTAATTGATACTAGAATACAGCACATTCAGAAATCTACCAAATTGGCCATGTATTTAATCACTACATAACCATAAGCCACTTTAATGACTGACCGCCCGACATTACCTGTCACAGCCTGACAGATCAGTCCCAGGTCCCCCTGGTGCCACCGGCCCTGAAGGTCCTCGGGGTCCTGCAGGAGAAGACGGCAGAGATGGACGAGATGTAAGATAGATATAAACATTTGTGTCCTATGTTGAAAGTTTTTAGCAGTGCTGTTATGGACTGTTTTAACTCATCTCCAGGGTGTTCCGGGGTCTCCTGGCATGCCAGGTGCAGCTGTAAGTATAAAACAAATGAAGCGCCCCTTTGAAAATAGGACCATTCTTCCCTCCGTGGCTTTACTTTTTTTGTCGCAACTTTAAATCAAGGTAAAGTGATTCACTCCCGCAGACGTAAACCTTGGTCCTTTGACGGCTTCCAAACAGTCAGCCTTGGAAGGCTAAGCAGAGCTGTCAAACCATCAATTCTGCAGCCCATCCAAGCAGTGAAGTGAGGGCGGGCTGATCATGGAGAGCTTCCGAACATGATCTTCTGCTTGTATTTCGTTTTCGATGAGACAAATGAGAATAGATCCCCAAATCTTTTTGGAAAGTGCAGCACTGCTTCAAGAGAAGTGATGCACTGTTTGGAGAGGTCTATTCTTTGTTTAGGAAATGAAAAGAATCATTTGTCATTAAAACTTTAGGTTGTGTCTTGCATCACTCTCAAAAATAACACTTTGAATGAGCAAAAACACGGCCCCGGATTGTAATTCTCTACATTCTTCCAAGACGTGACTTCAGAGTTGCCAGATCAACGCATAATCAGTCCGTCAGTGTCACAGCATCATGCTGGCATTTGCGTCAACAGCTTAAAGACCACAAACATGAAGCTGAACTAGATAAAGCAAAAGGTTAGCTCATCAGTCATACAACTCTAGTCCCAAACAAGCGGCGAAAAACAATGATTAATCCTCACTGTCACTACCTTTGCACAGTCGACCAACTGTGTGACGAGGAAGATAAAGCTCTCCGATTTGCGTTGTGTGTGTGTGTGCTTGGCAGGGCAGCAAAGGTGAGCAGGGGGAAATTGGACTTCCAGGGCAGCGAGGCCTACCTGGTCTTCCAGGACCTGCTGTAAGAAAACCCCTCTCTGATCATCTGGAATTTTTTATGTCTGCTAAACCGCCATTGTCATCTGTTTGTTCACTGCAGGGTTCTCCTGGCCCAATGGGTCCTCGAGGGCTAGTGGGCGAGAGAGTAAGGAACCATTTCAAACTCTTGATCATATTCCAGCAATAAGATGGAACATCAATTAAACTTGACACTTTCCTGCCTGTGCCTTGCAAATTAGGGTCTTCCTGGTTTTCCCGGGCCTGCAGGTCCTGCTGTGAGTGAACGCGATTCTTTTAACAACCAGTGGAAGGTCTAAATCAGGGCTCACCAACTCAGGTCCTCGATAGCCCCCAGTCCGACGTTTCCCTGCTCCAACACAGCTGATTGAAAGGAGCAGGCTCTGGAGGGGGGGGCACATCTAAAACATGCACGATAGGGGCCCTCGAGGAGAGGAGTTGGTGACCCCTAGTCGAAGTCCTCAAAGATTAAGTAATCAAATATCTTCTATACTGTTGTGTTTTTACAGGGCCCAGCAATTGAAGGACCTGCTGTACGTGTTCAAAATCTACCAGCTTTCCAATATGGTCTCGTGCAGTGAAGGTCCCGCTGTAACTCACTCTCCGTCTGTTTCCGACAGGGACCACCAGGAAAACCGGGAATCCCGGGAGATGAAGGGAATATCGGACCTGAGGTCAGAGTCAGGGAATGATACAACCATTTCAGATAAGAATAAATGTTATTCTAAGTAGTCTAAGAAAATCATAGTTATTCTTTGAAACAATACTATTATATTCCCTCCTGTCAAATACACCACTGGTCAAAAGGTTTTTGATCAATCGCGCTAGAAAATGTGTAGTTTTGGTTTGAAAGTTTTGATGACATGTCTTGCAGGGTCCACCAGGACCCAAAGGGGCTAATGGAAACCCGGGACCTCCAGGGATTCCAGGACCTCCTGGTCCAGTGGTAAGAAAAGCCTGACGGAGGTCATTTGTTGGTGGTCGTTTCCTGGGTGTCAAATTTGGATTAAAAGATGTTGGTCAATGCATGTCTGCCATGCGTCTGTTGGTCTATGTCAGATTTATTGACACATCGACACTTTTCTTCTCAAAGTTCTTCACTTGGTGATGCTGCCCACAGGGAATCTCTGTTCGGGATGTTTGATTGGTCTAAACATCTAAAGCCTCTTTGGATGTTTGAGATGTGACTCTGCTGTGTTTTAGGGGCCGCCTGGTGCCAGTGGTGAGGGAAGTGGGGAATCTGTGAGTGTCTTACTTTCACCCTGTCATCACGTTTCTTGGATGCATGGCTGCAAAATTGTTCGGGATTATCTCCTCATTGATGCGACGAGCCGCTGGGTTTTTCTTTCTTTATTTTCCCACCCCCCATTGGTGTGTCTGGAATATATTTGTAGTGCCCCGCAGCCTGCCCTGCTGGACCCCAGGGACTGGCTGGGCTACCAGGCATGAAGGTGAGAAAAGCTAATCAGGAAATGCTCTCGGCAAGCGCTGACTTTTGAATTCAAATGGTGAAATACAATAAACGAATTATTGGATTGTTGCCTTAAGGGACATAAAGGTATGCCAGGTGAAAATGGCAAAGATGGTCTACCTGGAGAAAAGGTATACCACGAACAACATCAACTCCAAACGGTTTATTTCGTGTGAATATGTGATTATATGCATTGATTGCACAGGGAGACACTGGACCCGAAGGTCCTCGAGGTACGCCAGGTCGCATGGGAGATGACGTAAGACTATCTACCTGTATCTATCGACAAAATGCGATCGTGTCTCCTATATAATGTGATCACCGTTTGTCTCAGGGCCAAAGAGGAGCCATTGGATTACCTGGTACAACTGGAGAAAAAGGAGATAGAGTAAGTTCAACAAAAAGTTTGGATCATATTCAATTCAGGATAAAGATTTGTGTCTTGGTAAAAGACTGCTTCTGTTCCAGGGTCCTCCAGGTTTCAATGGAATGCCTGGACCCACCGGCCCACCTGGGGCTCCCGTAAGCAATCTTGTTTTGCATTTACATCAATGAGGATTTCCCGGATAGTGTTCATGAATGTGTTTCTGCCCTCAGGGTGTGGAGGGATTGCGTGGACGTCAAGGTTTGGAGGGACCCAAGGGTGATGAAGTGAGTAATCCATTTGAACATGCTGCACAATTTGATTTAAAATGCTATTTCCTCATTTGTAATTTATGATTGGACTGTGTTGATTAGGGAGCAATAGGCCCTCAAGGAGAGCAGGGTATTCAAGGAGAAAAGGGAGATGTTGTAAGTTGGACTGATTGGTTTTCAAATATGAATGAATTTTCTGCATTTTTAACAAAGCACTCACAATTGTGGGTTTTTTTTTTTTTTTTTTTTTTTTTTTTTTTTTTTTTTTTTTGACTTGTGCGGTGGGGTATGTCAGGGAGCGCCAGGCAAAGATGGCCTTGATGGAATTTCTGGAGTTGATGGTGCCAAGGTGACTTTTCAGCTGCACATAAATGAATACATGTTGCAATGTGTTCATAAGGCTTTTGTGTGTGACTAAAATGTCAATATACTCAACAGGGAGAGCCTGGTCCAGCCGGAATAGTTGGTGTGAGGGGCGTTGTGGGTATTCCGGTAAGTCCGCTTAATATGTGTTGCTTTAATAATTTCCTAATTGAAAGACTGATTATGCTTTTTTTCCAATCTTATGTTGAATGCGACATTTCAGGCCACACTGACAGCACAACACAGTAGCACAGATGTAAACAAGTACTACAAGTACTAATACACACGCTTCATGTAGTTTCACAGGGCTCACCTTCTGCTGCGGCAGATTACAACACACATCTTGGACGTGTCGCCATTGTGGTTCACACCACATACACGTTGCAAGCATTATGCTAAAGAGAATACTGTCGTTTCTCCAAGGTGGCATCAGATTCTCTGCATGGAAATACATTAATTTTGGCCAACATATTTTAGGGGTATTTTCTTTTATTCTCTTCAGGGGCTTCCTGGTAAACAGGGAGTAGTTGGACCTTCTGGTGAAAAGGTACTTTTTTTTTTTTTAACTTATGTTGAATAATGAAGTATCCGAAATAATCATTTAGACATCTTTAGGGTGACACCGGTGCTGATGGAGCCACTGGGCCAATTGGGCTTCCAGGCAAAACTGTGAGATTCATAAATTTGAACACTCTTTTAATGTTTGCTTGACATTAACACATGTATATTTGGGTACAGGGCGAGGCCGGAACACCTGGAGAAGATGGAAAACCAGGAGATAAAGGGTCAACTGTGCGTTGATATTTACTTATGGCAACAAGGCATATGGAGGAATAGCCGTTACAATTGCATTATTGTCAATTTTTTTTTTTTGCGCGATACATTTTCAGGGTGAACCAGGGAAACAAGGGCCAGTGGGGCCTGCGGGTCCTCCAGGCATCGAGGTAAGACCTTTTTTCTATTACGATCATTGGGGCTGTGTCAGAGTGACATTCCAATGACAAATGAACAGATTGGTTTCAAGTGGTGTAAAATTGGTTCTCACAGGGTGAAAAGGGACAAAAAGGCGACAGTGGGGAAAAAGGAATCAAAGGTCACACTGGACACAAGGGGGATCAGGTAAGTCACTATTCTTCTTCCCAAAAGCAAACATGAGTCAAAGCATATTTATTAATATTTGCTTTGTAGGGGCCAATGGGACCAGAGGGACCAAAAGGAAGTTTGGTATGCCTACCACTTTCGGGACATATTATTATTATTTAATGACTACAACATATCCTTGCAATGTTCTTTTGTGATTAGGGTGATACAGGTCTTGCTGGAGATCCTGGAGTCAAGGGGGACCAGGTATGTTTTGTATGGTCACTGCTACATTTGACTTAATATTCGTTGGAATAAAGCGCAAACCCTACCTTTTCTCTTTGTCATCTGTATCAGGGCCCACCTGGTATTCCTGGAATTAAAGGAGAGGTATCAATGTTATTTTAATGCTTAAGAGCACCATACAATTTTTTTAATTTTTTTAAATCCACTCGTAGACCTGCATTTAGGCTGGACATATAATTGTTGGTCGTGTCAGAGTGGACTGGCATTGATTTCCACTGTTCTCCACAGCATGGCTCAAAGGGCGTCAGAGGAGCAACCGGCGCAGAAGGCAGACCAGGTCAGCCAGGCCACGAGGGTTTGGCTGGTCCAATGGGAGCCCGAGGACTCGAGGGAGAGCCGGGAATACCTGGAGCGCCGGGTCCCAGAGGTCTGCCTGTAAGTGTTGCGCCTGCTGACAGTGCCAGAAGGTACCCTGAAATACAGCGTGTACTAATACTTATGAACTCACAGGGCCCTAGAGTGAGTGATGACAGGCTTCGGGATATGTGTTCGGCTGTTGTTGAAGGTAGTTTGTGCACTTTGACTTGACACCTAGCGGGACAAATTGACTTGTTCTTTCTCTTGCCTACGCAGAACAATTAGCAGAATTCATGAAAGATTTTCTAAAGAGGCCTGCTGCCCTGGGAGCCCCTGGCGTCCCAGGAATAGCGGGACCACCGGGCCCTGCCGGAGCTGACGGAGCGCCGGGATCACCGGGAGCTCAAGGGCCGATGGGTGCCAAAGGCCACCCGGGATTCTTTGGGATCCCGGGTGCACCAGGCAAGAAAGGTCAGGATGTATGTTATAAATTAACACTGACATATGGAGAACGAAGACTTGAGTAGAGTCCCAGCTTACCATCAATTGGCTGCTTTCTGTAGGTGATCCTGGAGCTAAGGGAGATAAAGGAGATAAGGGCGAAGCCGGTGTGGGAATCAAAGGAAGCGCAGGACTCCCAGGTGCACCAGGTAAAACAGCAGCTAAGATGCAAAGCAAGCCATTAAAGAATACATTGATATAAAGATCAACAATTGCCACTCATGTTTGTTAACCTTCATTGGATTAACATCCTAACGCTAGTTTTGCGATTTACATCCCTTGCATGGTTACTAAGTGATGCCAAATAACGAGAGAAATTTGTTTTTAACGCTACCTTAGGTGTTGCAGGTGCTCCTGGCATCGGCAAAGATGGCAAAGACGGAGAACGTGGAGAACAAGGAAGCCCCGGTGTCCCAGGAGCTGCCGGTCCAAAGGGTCCTCCTGGTCCACCGGGTCTTTGTGACCCATCAACCTGCATAAACCGAAACCCAGCACCTCTCTTCATGTACAGCGGGAAGAAGTCGGGCGCTTACAAAAAAAAGTGAGACATCAGCGCTCGTTTGGCACACTCAGGTCTGCAACTTTCAAGCGACAGCGTTTCTCGGCTGGTCCACAAGTCTAGTTTTGATCTTCTTGATGAGTCTACGTTGGAACTGCGGATGATAGCGACACAAAGGGAATCAAGACAAGGCACAACTGTAGAAATTGTATAGATATTTGGACTTGCGTGAAACTTTAATGGGAGCTTATCTGAAGGTGAGATGCTGCGAAGAATGAGCTTCTGACTTTAGCAAAACAAATATGAACAAACTGTAAAATAGGAAACATTTGTCTGACTACATGTATTATTTCACTTTCAATCAGCGCATCTTCTTTTACAACTCCAGACAGGGGTTTGACCCACTGAGTTTCAATGCAATGACGAGGCAGTTACGATTGAGTGGAATTATCTTCTGGTGCTTTGTCTTTCAAAACAAAACGTCAATACTAAAACTCAATTCGCTTACAGTGCAGAACACAGGCTGTGCTTGTTGATGCTGGACGATGACATGAGATATGAAAGCAATGTTCTTTTTTCAAACAATGTAATAAAGCCACGTGTTTTGGAAGCGTTGCATACAGTACCTCACAAATCAAATGTGCATCCTTTTTGTGTCACAATTACCGGTATGTAAAATGAATGCTTCCCAGAGAAACTGCCCTGTATTGGATCTAAAGTCCTTAGAAAGGTTGGTCAAGATGTCATTCTGTGTTACCCGGATATCAAGCAAAGTCAATAGATTATAAAATAAATTAGCTGGAGTCACCATCGAAGCCTGCGACCGTGGTTTGAGATGAATTTATTCCAGTCTTGATAGTACAGTACATTACACAAGCCTTTCAAATACTGACTATTTTAAAACTTTTTAGCACCATTTTCCCAAGATAAACTCAAAGTATATTGCAGTATGTAATATAAGGACTTGGGATATACTCTTGCAATCAGAATAGGTAAGCAAATGGTTCTGTGTTTTCTGAGACATAACTACTCTCATGTTAAGACCATCCAAATGAAAACAGATAGCAGACATGGAATCACTGATTTTCAAGTTATGCATCATCACATAAATTAAAATGGATAGCAATGCAATTGTTTTTACAAATTCTGATCTAGTTTGTTGGGGTTTTTGAAAAACCGCTCCTTGGGTTAATTTTTGTAATAACCAATGGATTTTTTTTTTTTTTGGCGTAAATTTTTCCAAAGAAAGCCAAATGCAATGCATTTTATACAAAAGACAACCCTATACTATAAGTTCTAGATGACCAGTACATTTGACAAGAAACTGGGGGACAAATAAATCGGTGTTCTTGGCCTGCACTTATAAACTCCGAATAAGCCTCAGCAAAAAGTTACCAAGTGTCACACAAGAAAGTGGTTTAAAGCAACGAGCCTCTCAAAAAAGTGAACGATAGTCATGACCTAAGCAGTTCAGCACTCAAGTCAACGTGGTGACAAACGTGGCAAGTTATTCCCTCTTCAATAAATGAAAACTGCTAGATAAAGTCACTCACTATTAATTCCACGCAAACTCACTTGCAAAGTCTTTTTTGTAGAACGAGCCAGATTTTGTCATTAAAAAAACTCTTCCGATCTCTCCCAGAGGTAGAAAAGCTCAAATCAATGATTTGGGAGAGCGGAAGGTGAAATGCATGGCCGTAGGTTTATTCCATTGTTAAAGCTTAAACATAATTAAGAAGAAAGGTACTGAGACTTACCTCCATTTTGGACAAGCGGGTGAAAATGTTCCCACTCAAGGATACATAAGAAGCACAAATGTGGTCTACCATCTCCCAAAGCCCCAACCGCCCACCCAAAATCAGTAAAATAACCCCAAAACCAAGAGATTACCCAAAAACTAAAGCGGCGATCTTGTAGTGAGCAGTTAGTAACACTGAGAAAAATCTATAGCTTGACATACCTGGAGGGACCTGCATCGTCCGTCTTCTCTCCCAATATATTTTACAGAAAGCATGCAAGACAGGAAAACACATTTAGCTGCCCTCTTTACGCCACATTCCATCTTCCAAAGTCCCCAGCGTCCATTCCCCATCAATTGCAAGCGTCATACCAAAAACAAAAAGAAAACAAAACGAAAAAAAAAAAAAAAACAACCATCGGCACTTATTGCGTCAGTCCTCCAAAAGTGAGGTTAAAATGTTCTTTTAGTCAGACACTACAATGTTCATAAATACAGCTATACTTCAAACTCTTGGTGTCATCTTTTTTTTTTAAAAAGTTAAGTCCCCTTGACATTTTTCGTGTGAGGTCTGTTCGCAAGGCTGGCGTAGTAGGCACACTGGGAAGGGTCACATTGGCCAGAAGGTCCTGGAGGGCCGGGTTGACCGTGGGGGCCAGGGTTACCTGGCTCCCCTTGGGCTCCAGCTTGTCCTGGGCTTCCGTCTTTACCATAACCAGGCATACCAGTTGGACCTGTGATAAACAGAAGCAATTTAGCCCTCAAGATCGCTCACTACAAACCCAATAACACCGAGCAAATGGTGTCCAGTCAAAAGTTTTGTTTGTGGTTATTACCTATTGCACCAGGGGGGCCTTGCTCTCCTCTTTCACCAATCCCAGAATCTCCCTTGTCTCCTTTAGTACCCTTTTCACCTGGAAGGAACAATTAAATAGCAGGATCAGTGGATTGTGTCATGATAAAGCCTTGGTTGTTGGGAGCTACGAATCAGTCACAAATACTTTGCCAGCTTTATCCATATCAATGATGATATAGAGATGATACTTTAGTGACTAGAGGTTTCCCAGTAACAGCTACCAAATATTGACTGGATTGAAAATGCATTTTCACCTTCTAATACCTCTCAATTGAAAAGCCCTTGGGTGCTTCTTGAAGAGACAACAAATTCCATTGATAAACAATACTTTTCTACTGGCTTGGACCTTGTTAATCCCACTTAGGGCTTTTTTTTTTTTTTTTTTTTTTGTTTTTTTCAAACTTTATCAGTTGGGGTTTTTTGTCCCCCCCCCTTAAAAAAATTTTTTTTTTTTTTTTTTTTTTTTTTTTTTAGCTGTTATCAAACTTAGTTGCCAAATGTAGATGAAATGATGAAAACAAAAACATTTCCACAATTTTGTATCACCCGTGTGTTTGGTATGAACTTATAACATTTGGTAGAAATCAAATCAAATTCTGTTTTTTGAAAAGCCCAATGGATTTGGCCACCTCAGACTGAAAGGTGTCCCTTTGTCAAGGCTTTGTGAGACTGTTGTGGGGTACACACTACATCCATCCATCTTCTGATTATCTGATTCTGGGTACGGGAAAACCAGATCTTGGAGGTGAAAGGCAGACTAGACTTTGCACAGGTCACTTAGAATCATAGGACACATCGAGACAGATGACCATTCATACCTGTGCTCACTGGTGGGAAACAATCGCACATTGGCCGCACAAAAGTCAACAGTTGAAGCACTACACCTTTTTAAAAAGCAACACGTTTACCTTTTGGACCCATGGGTCCCCTCAGTCCTTCTCCACCATTTATTCCGGGTATGCCCGGTTCACCGGGTGGGCCAGGTCGTCCAGGGAGGCCCTCTTTACCCGGAGGACCGGGTGGTCCCGGGCGCCCCGTCGAACTCTTCACGTGGGCTGGTTGCATCTGAGCCATAAGGTAGGCCAATTTAGCTGGAAGTACAAAAGAAACACTCCTAGGAAAATGGACTCTTCAGACACGATGAGAACCCCAGCGGAGGTGCTGCCTCACCATCCAATTGCTTGGCCAATTCCTCTTGAATGAGCCTTCTCATCTGCTCCAGTGATGCGGACTCCCCCTGAGAAGATGGTGATGATTCTAGATGACTGAATTATTTGCCAACACGTCATCCATGTTTATTGATAATATCATAAGGGATAGTGTTTTACTCTTGGGCCTGGCATTCCAGGGTTCCCAGAAGGTCCTTGAGGGCCAGGAGATCCCACTTCACCGGGTGGTCCTGACATGCCCATCATCCCAGTGTGGCCCTTTCTGCCAGGTGGTCCTGTGTTTCCTGGTATACCTGGTTCTCCTGATTGTCCTTTATCTCCTTTCATGCCCGAGTCACCCTGAAATAGATAATAATATCTCTGCTGTGTTTTTGTCCCGAACTTTATGAATGTGAATAAATCCTGGCACTTACTTTTTCCCCCTTAAGGCCACGATCACCTGCTCGGCCTGGGACTCCCTAAAAGACCCCAAAGATGTAAAAAAAACTAAATTGCAATGTGTACAGTACATCAAATTATATAAGATGTTGGTGTAAGATACCTGTTTCCCTTCTGGACCAGCAGGACCAGGCGGACCCTGGAAATCGGGATGAATGTCAACAATATCGAGGTGTAATTCAGTGATTTGAACCGACATACACTTACCGGAGGACCTTTGGGTCCACTGAAGCCAGGTAATCCTGGATTGCCGGGCTCTCCCCTTTCCCCTCTCATACCCTGAATGATGGCAAAGACATGGCTGTTCACCACACACAAAATATACTATTCTCGTATTTGAGTGCAATCCAAAAACCCTGCTCCTTAGGGAGGATCCAGCGAGATTAACATTTAGTTTAGCGTTCTACACGTGGTTTAACTTTGACCAAATGTAGTGAAGGGATGATATTTTGGGTTATTTCGCAGTCCTTCCTCCTCTTCTTCTAGAGTTTCTCTTCCTACCGCTCGGTTTCCTTCCCTCTTCCCTCCTCAAGGCCATCTGATTATCGACTCCCTCCGCTGACTGATGTAGTTCCCATCTGAGCCACCCGCCGGCTACCTCCTCTTAGGTAAACCATATATCAGGTCGAGGACCTAGAGTCTCCTTCTCTCTGCGCTCCAGTGATCATGGCCTGGTCCTTGTATCACCCCACACTCCTTACACAAGTGAACGGACATCATTTGAGTGTGAAATCACTCAATTACATGGCGAGCAGAGGCTTCCCAAGCTTTAAGAGGACTCGGGTGGCACTTTGAAGAGATGGGTGTGTGCAACTAAGTGACAGTCATAGAGCGAGTCCTCTGTCTACCTTGAGGAGGTTTAGTTTAAGAGATACATTGTAAAAATGTTTCAAGCCAAAAGGAAATTAGGCTTTCTGTCATGTTATCGTTGCCCAAGTTGAAAGTTAGACACCAGATTTATATTAAGTTAGTAACCTCCAAGTCAGCAAACATGGCATTTAGTTAATCACTTATTCAGCTTTTTAGATAATTATCCAACTAAATGGATTACTCAACAGGCAGTTAGTCGTGAATGTCACATGAGAAATCGAAAAAACAGCTGAGACGTGCCGGTTGTAACCTGAGCACTTTGGCATTGTGATGTCATTTTCAGTCATTAGCAAGTTGCAAAATGGCCGGCCCCTCAGACGGGTTAAAATAGGTGTATTTTTCAGCTTAATTTATACTTCACAAATGCAATTTTAATCAGAATACCCTGTTTAGACTAGTGGGGGCGCATTGACCACATTGTAAAGGCCATTTTTGACTTGACTTCCCCTTTGAGTGCAACAACTTCCATCATAGCCTGACAGCTCATCTGCAAGATGAAGCAATGCTTCACATCCACTTGGCATGTTCTCATTCTTCAAATGTAACTTTTCTTGTTTCTTCTGTAATTTATTGCCAAGCAGCATAGTGTCACCATCATTTAAAGTTGTTTTTGTGATAGCATAGCTGTTTGCAGATGTTGATATTTTTTTTTTTGCAAAATGACTTCTTTTTGTCAGCTGGTATGTGGTGGAGTAGTGACAGATAACTCACTGGAGTTCCTGGGAGACCTGCTTTGCCTGACGGCCCTGGTTCACCCTGCTTGCCCTTGGGGGGGGGGAACAAAGACAGAGGAAGTGATGGACTTATTTCCATATACAGTACTGTATCTGTATGTCTTTCCGCTTGATATGACACTATGCTGAGTCATGTGTTCATACTCACCGGCTCGCCTCTTGGTCCAATGGGTCCTTCTGGTCCATGAGGCCCCTTTGGACCCTGCCATAACAAAACAACAGTTTGAAACCATGCGCAAAGAATAAAGGTGCTCTGGTCTATATATGCGAACGCAGATGGAGATGGGTTAAGTCCCTTGTGACAAAAAAAAATGGGACAAAACTCTCATAATATAGAAAGCTCCTGCAGCGTAATATTTTACACTGCTACACAGTAAATGACTGTATAGACACGATTAAAGTTTATTTTTGGCACTCTGCTCCAAGCTTGTTTAAATCATCGGTGTGCTTGATTCCAAAATATGACGGGAAGCAATGCTGCAGCCTGAAGAATGTTTTATGTAGTTTTAACAGTCCAGGATTTTCTACGGTGCAATATTTATCTCTATGCTACAGCATAGCTGGGAGGAACCACCATTTATTCATTATAAGGTTTTCCTTTCTTCTCACTTGATTTCTCTCGGAGGTAAATAATGCAACTTTTCTGTTTCTGTATTTCATATACTCATGAAATTACTGACAAGACATGAGAGCTATATAATTCATTAAACAATGTAAATAAAAACATTGTACCTCTTTTCCAGGTTTGCCGTCCCGTCCAGGTAATCCAGGCTTTCCATCTTCTCCCTGTTTGACACATGAAATAATAGCTCAGATGACGTGTACACTATACCACGATGTATTGAACAAACACATGAGCATTAGCCATTGTAATTAGGTATACCTAATTTTAATGGTTAATGCATGTATGCAATGTACATCCATTAGCCTGAGGCTGTATTTGTTTATGGAGTGGAAGTGATGAGAGCACAACACTATGTTCTTTTGATGGACTTGAAACACCTCTATATCGTCGCTAATAAAATTTAATTCTAAAATGATTGCTGTAGCACCCGTACATAATACATTAGTGTATATGTATGTGTGCATTTTTAGCGTATTTGGCCTACCTTTGACCCAGTAGAACCATGTTCTCCTCTGTGGCCCTTGAAGCCCTGAATGGGAAGATACAGTGGTGAACTGGCAGGCTTTGTGGTCTTTTCCATGTATTAGGACTATAGAGGCCACTTACTGGGAGTCCACGGAGCCCAGGGTTTCCAAGTGGTCCACGTTCACCTTGTTTGCCCTGTCATCAAAAAAAAAAAAAAAAAAAAAAGGGGGGGGGCTTCAACATCATAGCCTTCGTCAGGTGACATGAAATGAGGCTAAAAGGTTCTACTTACTGGTTCTCCTTGTTCACCTTGTATACCGTCCTTTCCTATTTTTCCAGGTGGACCCTGCAGTTGAGTGGAATGCATTGACAGTAAGGAGGACTACAATACTTTTTCCAATGAAGACAGTATGATCACACTGCAGCTGAATGTAAATAGTTTGGATGCTTGCATAATAATTCTTACGATCATGCCAGGAAGACCCGGTGGACCCTGGATGCCTTTGAGACCCTCTTTGCCCTATTAAAAACAAACCGACAGAGTCGTTAAAAAGATGGAGTACTAGGCACCTCAGCTTTACACATTACACAGTGTGACCCATATGCTGGAGAGCAACATTGGGCGTGGAAGAGAACATAATTCTGGCCTGACCTTCTCTCCAGGGGGTCCTTGGGGACCAGGTGGACCAGGTTGTCCATCATTACCCTGAACACAAACAAAATGTTAGCAAATTGAACAAACGTGTATTGGTTCTTGAGACTATTTGGAGCAGGCAAAATATCTTGGGGAAAGAAAATATGTGCAAGAGCAATTTACCGCTGCGCCGATCATTCCAGCTGGACCAGGGTGGCCTGGAGGTCCAGGGTGACCCTGCAAAATAGTATAATAATAAAGAAATGACCAAAACATATCATCTGCTAAATATTGCTGTAATGCATGTTTTTCTGCCAACCTTTTCTCCTTTATCTCCTGGCATTCCAGAAGTACCTCGATCACCTTTAAGTCCCTGTGTGGATAAATTGATAACTTCATATTTTATTTTCAGGATGAGGCATTTTCTACAAATACACAGAAGCAAAACAAGTAATGACTTAACTTTTTAATCGCTTGGGTTAAAAACAACAAAAAGAAACACTAAGCAGAGCTGCAATGTTTGCATTTGGCGATGTGTCTATTCCATATGTCACATACACAGATCAGCTACACAAACTGGAAAATCGACAGCTTAGTGATGAAGTTATGCGCCCATGAAAGAAAATACAATCGCGACAGTTTTTATGGGCACTCGCTTCTTTCTTCACACGCTGGGCCTGTAAGAGCCACTAGCTTTGTCACAACGCCGTGGCTTTGCTCCTAGTCATCATGCTAACAACAGGCCTACCCTGCACTGTCGAGGGAGTGCAGTGGCTCATTTGCATGAGATTGAACCACCCACAAATTGAGTTTCGGGCAGAAAAAAATAAAAAAATAATAATCTAGATTTAAAAAAAAAAAAAGATCCAATACTTTGATTTTAAGATTAAATATGTATATTTTTTTAATCTGATGATGAAATATCTGCTTCAATAAAATAAAACACAAGTTTGGGCAATTACCTGAGCAAACAAAACAAAATATGATTTAGTATTTGCCGGAGTCAGCGATAAGGAAACGTGTTAATGTGCCAACTTGCCTTTCCTCCATCAGCTCCAGGAGGTCCTTGAGGTCCCGGTAGTCCCGGTGCGCCCTGTAATGACAGCAGACAATCAGTCTTCTTCCTGGAAGACTAAGCGTGCCCTAATTGCTCACTAGTGCCCCCGGAGGAGGGCCTACTAATGATGCAGACTGTGTCGAAGCGTACTTTGATGAATGAGCACACATTAGTAACTTGGACGCCATGCCTCATTTTAGGCCTAATGAATGCACCCGTGCGCACACAAATACACACTCCATTGACTTTACATTAGCGGAAGGGTGATATTAACAATAATGCGGAATGCAAATGACTGTCGTACTTGATAGCCATCTTGACCATCTTTCCCAGGAGGTCCCTGTTGTCCTTTATCGCCCGGCAGTCCTGGGACACCGGCTGGTCCAGGGGGACCTGCTGGGCAGTCTGAGCAGATGTCCTAAATGATGCAAAAAGAGGCTTTAAATTTTACTCCACTATCTTTACATAACTCTCTCCAAGCAAGCAGTGGCGTCTACCTTAAGTTTGATGTCAGAAAGGTCTGCTGCTTTTCCCTTGAGAAGATGATAAATAAAGTATCAAAGTCAAGTGGAGGACGCCCACTAGGATACATTGCGGTCATCTACCACCATTCATTCAAAGAAAAACAACAAAATATTAACTGCTTTAGAGTTCATTCGATCAATACTCACAGGCTCTCCAGGTGATCCCTTCTCTCCAGGCCTTCCCGGTAGGCCCTAATTGGAGAATAAGGTGGTGGATTACATGTACAGGATTATTAGCCAGACAGGCAATATTTAGAATTTAAAAATATATATATATGCAAGAAGGAGCCAAGTTAGGACTCACGTTATGTCCCGCGGGCCCATCGGGACCAGGGATGCCAGGTAGGCCCCTCAAGCCCTGAAAATCAGAGGAAAAAAACATTGATAAAAATGTACAGAATTTCACAAAAACAATACCAGAAATCAAATTTACAGGTGGTCCAGGATTGCCATTATTTCCAGGGGGCCCCTGTAATAAAGACAAAGGCAGATATGATGGAGATATTCTGAATACCAACGGCGTAGTACAGTGAATCTGACTTGTATTGAGATCATACCTGAGGTCCTGTTTTGCCTTCCCCTGGGGAGCCTCTGTCCCCTGGTAACCCTGGCTCTCCTCTTGACCCTGGGGGGCCCTAAAAGACACAAACCAAGCTTATGCCACTCTCCTCATCCTCAGTCATGATTGTTTTTAAGTGAATTTCATGTTTTGTACAATGAATATCAGAAATTCTCAGAAAATAAATGGAGATTAATCTGTTCCAACCCTATGTTGTATTTGGAGTATAACCACAGGGCTATAACCACAGAAACATCAATGCTAGTTTTGTTAGCCCATTCATCATTTCTTAGTATTCAACTGTCAGACTTCCGTATTAGGCAAAAATATGTGGTTGTTTTAAATACACAAGATGTAATTGTCTTTGTTTTATGTTTAGTGTGACGATCAACATCAACTGGGACTGGCACAAACAGCTTGAATTCTCTCTTCTGAAGAAAAGCTCACAATCTGCCAAACTGCTGCATGAAATTAGTTGTGTTGAGCTTGCTGCCACCATCTCGCTGTCAAATCTCAAATGTTTGCTCTCAAGTCAAAGAAAAAAAAAAGTATGGCTTGTATTTCAGAAAACTTCAAGTCACTTGTAGGTTCAAGTACCACTTTATTTCGGTCGGCATACACCGAGAAGAACAACCATGATTTTCTTTCTCATTACCTTTGGCCCTGGGGGTCCTTCATTTCCCCGTGGTCCTGGTTCTCCCTGTCAAATCACAAATAACGTCAATTAAGCATCTCGGAAATACAAACACCTCATATAAACCTCCTAAGATGAAATCGTGAGGCATTAGAAAGTGTGTACGAGTTCATTCTACATGCACATAAACTGCAAGAGGGAGGCCTCAGGGCCGCACCTGGTTGCTGTAAAAAGAAGAATTAAATAAATACATGAAAACTAAGCATGCTTCCTGTTTGCCCACGCCTCGTCAGCAGGTCTGAGGTGGAGGATGTAGACACACGTTGCGCCGCAGCACAAAATGTGCCAACTCAGGCTTGTTGTGTTGTGGTTCAACATGTATGCCAGACAGTGCATGTTGACAAGCACAACGCGTGCGAAAGAAAAGAGACTTTCCGCAAGACCTGGAGCCAGTAAAAAGCTGTCACATCAACATTTACTCAGAAATACATATTCAATCATCATTTCCGGAAACGTATATGATACAGATGGAACGCGTTCAATTCAAGGGTAATGATTGCAAACACTTTAATGACCAATCTAAACACAAACTGTAATGATATGGTGATCATATAGAGTGAGTGTGAACGCATTTCTTACAGTAAGTCCATCTTTTCCCTTCCCTGCTGGTCCTGGCGGTCCGATCAAACCAGGCTCCCCGGGTTGTCCTCGTTGACCTGCCTGCCCTGGTTTGCCTGACTCACCCTAAAGAAAAAACATATTTTTTTAAAGTTGGTAAACATATGATGACGATGATGATATCACACCAACAAAAAAAAAAAAGACATGAATTCTTTAGTGTGATTATGTTAATAACATGAAACATTAATATTTCAGTTGCTTGATCATAAGTACTGTAAAATGATGCAATATTTATAAGTCTTCACAATTTAATCTTGGGTAATTTGATAATCCAGAAGAGTGTATCAAACTGGTGGCCCTTCACATGAATCGTTACCTAAGAAGCAGCTCTTAGTTACAAAAATATCAGTGATGCCATACTGTAACACCTATACAAACATATCATGAGAGCACATGAAACTGAAGTATGTGACCTTTTCTCCTCTCTCTCCAGCAGGACCAGGAGGCCCAGCGATACCTGGTAAACCCTAAAATAAAATATATAACAAACAAACAGAAAAACATATATTGAAAACGTGGTAAACTTGAATCTCGTCACACAGTATACAGTACATCAAATTGGTCATGTGGACCTACCAAGTTGCCCGGTAGCCCGCGAGGGCCTTGAGGACCAGCTACACCAGGAGGCCCCTGGAGCAAACACATTAGTGGTTACTATACAAGGTGCCATCTTTGGGCTTCTCACTTCAAATCCATTCAACTCACTGGGTCCCCAACACGTCCTGCCTCTCCTTGAGGTCCCGTGTCCCCTTTTGCACCCTACCAATAGGAGAAATCAAATACGATCAATTGAGTGATTAATTAATCCATCCATTTAATAAATTGCTTTTGTGTCTTCACTACTCCAGTCTTACCGGTAGTCCAGGTGGACCCTTAAAGCCTTGCTCACCAGGTAATCCTCTCGGGCCCTTCAGAAAAGTATATTTATTAACAGGTCTGATTTACTTGAGTAATGACATTTTTTTTTCTTTGTCATTTATTTAGGCTGTTTATCTAACTTTTTAGGATAGACCTTAAATAAAGCTCAGCATTTGATATTTTAAAAAAAAATCATAAACTGTTCAAAAAAGGATATCCATGATTTTAAAATGTATACGATATGCAGTATATTATTAAATATGACAATCATCTCAGTTGTCCAGCTGTGACGCGCAACGTTCTTATCGTATCTTTAGTGACATCTAGTGGATACTCTTGCACATTGCAATATGTAGTTTTGTATCACACTCTACAACAAAAGTCAAAGGGGGAAAAAAAAAGCCTGAAATATAAAAATATGTATTGAGAAAATCCCACCATTTCTCCAGTCTGTCCTTGGTCCCCTTTCTCTCCTTTTTCTCCTGGCTTTCCCTTCAAGATACAACAAAGTCAATGTGTGTGATCTTAAATGAACAAAACAGGGAAGGAAGGAACACTGAAATACCCTCTTAAATATTTCATCAATCCATTACGGGTGGATCTTTGGTTTTCTTTTCATAGACACTGTTGTTTTGAGAATTAACTTACAGGTTCACCCGGCTCAGGAATGACACTTGCTACCTGTAAAGCAAAAATATTCCAACTAGGTGTCAAATACAGCATAATGTAAACATACATATTTTGCTATTATGAAATTGAATTTACATTTCCGGGTATGCCGGGCAGTCCCCTGGCTCCTACTTCACCCTGAGAGCAGGAAAAGAAGACAACAATGTGAAATTAATTAAAGCAATACGAGCATCATATGGAGATGTGCACCATCAGTTAAACGATGACAATTTCTCTACCTTGTCACCCTTTTCACCTTTTGGACCCAGTGGTCCATCCTGACCCCTGTCACCCTAATGAATACAGTAAAATAGAATAAATAGTTATTAAAAATTTGATCTGGGATTTTTTTTAATTTTTTTTTTTTTTTTTTTTTAAAAAAAGCTTAATTGAAGTGTTAGGGCTAAATTTTTTTTTTTTTTTTTTTTTAAAAAAAGCTTAATTGAAGTGTTAGGGCTAAATTTTTTTTTTTTTTTTTTTTTAAAAAAAGCTTAATTGAAGTGTTAGGGCTAAATTTTTTTTTTTTTTTTTTTTTAAAAAAAGCTTAATTGAAGTGTTAGGGCTAAATTTTTTTTTTTTTTTTTTTTTAAAAAAAGCTTAATTGAAGTGTTAGGGCTAAATTTTTTTTTTTTTTTTTTTTTAAAAAAAGCTTAATTGAAGTGTTAGGGCTAAATTTTTTTTTTTTTTTTTTTTTAAAAAAAGCTTAATTGAAGTGTTAGGGCTAAATTTTTTTTTTTTTTTTTTTTTAAAAAAAGCTTAATTGAAGTGTTAGGGCTAAATTTTTTTTTTTTTTTTTTTTTAAAAAAAGCTTAATTGAAGTGTTAGGGCTAAATTTTTTTTTTTTTTTTTTTTTAAAAAAAGCTTAATTGAAGTGTTAGGGCTAAATTTTTTTTTTTTTTTTTTTTTAAAAAAAGCTTAATTGAAGTGTTAGGGCTAAATTTTTTTTTTTTTTTTTTTTTAAAAAAAGCTTAATTGAAGTGTTAGGGCTAAATTTTTTTTTTTTTTTTTTTTTAAAAAAAGCTTAATTGAAGTGTTAGGGCTAAATTTTTTTTTTTTTTTTTTTTTAAAAAAAGCTTAATTGAAGTGTTAGGGCTAAATTTTTTTTTTTTTTTTTTTTTAAAAAAAGCTTAATTGAAGTGTTAGGGCTAAATTTTTTTTTTTTTTTTTTTTTAAAAAAAGCTTAATTGAAGTGTTAGGGCTAAATTTTTTTTTTTTTTTTTTTTTTACACAAAGCTTAATTGAAGTGTTAGAGCTAAATATTTTTTTTCTTTTTTATATTTATACATACAGGACTTCCCCTCTCTCCTCTTGCTCCATCAGCACCAGCTACACCAGGTGCGCCAGCCAATCCCTGTTTCAAAATAATAAACTTAATTTCCAAACATATTAAAAAAAAAAAAAAAAAAAAATCTTTCAGAAAAACAATCCATCCACTTACTCTCTCCCCCGGAGGTCCTCTTGGTCCAGGAGGCCCATCATCTCCCTTAGAGTTGTTGAGGGGGTTCACATTGTGAGATTTGCATGTGGAAAAGTCATATTTAAAAAAAAAAAAAAAAAGTTACATTTAAAAAAAGCTACCTTTGGTCCGGCTTTGCCAGGAAAGCCATCTGCTCCGCGCTCTCCTCTGGGCCCCTTCAGAAACATCGTACCTTCATTAAGATGTCACACAGTACCTCTAAAAATGATATACAAAGTAATTGGAATTAAAATGATACTAACCATAGCACCATCATTCCCAGGAAGACCATCCAGGCCATCTTTACCAGGAGCACCCTTTTGAAGGTCATGGATGGAAGACATGCAGGGTCACAAAAATTAAATATTACAGTGTTCATTTAATTATATTCAATAATTGAAGTTAAACTCACAGGCTTTCCAGCCTCGCCAGGTTTGCCGGAAAATCCAATTTCACCTGGCAGACCCTTAATAATGAAAGGGGGAAATTATTAAACAAATGAGTCAGGTATATAATGTGTCTTAGAAATATAAAACAATAAACACATGATTATATTTTGCTTACAGGAGGTCCAGTGTTGCCATTGTTCCCCCGTGGTCCTGGTGGACCCTGCGGACCCTGCAAAATAAACATTTACAACCTGAATAAAAGTTACAAGTGAGAGCTTGCAAGAAAATAACTTGACACAATCCGAAAGGTTCATTTGAAGCTTAATGATGCCCTTGAGAGAAGCAAGTCATTTTTTTATTCTGCTTTGAATTATTGAGCATTCCGCACTCTTAAGATATGAAATCAAACTCCAGTGTTCTTGCTCATAGCTTAATGGTATGGAAACGAAACACGTCCTTACGATTGGTCCGGGGAGTCCATCCACTCCAGGCAATCCACTTTCACCTTTCTTTCCCTGGAAGACAAATTAGGAGGAAAGAATTAAGATGAAAAATACATTATTGCTGAAGAAGTGTAACAATGATTAACCCACATTAGTAGGGCAGGTACAACAGTTGTAGTATATTTTCAAACATGTGAAGACAACAGCTCTCAGTGGTCTAGATTACTGGTGCTCACTTTTAAAAAAAAACAAACAAAAGTACCCTTTTTTTTTAATGCTCAACATTGAAATATAGTAGTGGAGCATTAATGTAAGGCAATGTAACATTATGTAGAGTTTGAATAAGTACTGGAGCAAAAAACGTCCTTAAATCATGATTGGATTGAAAATAGAAATTAGATTAAAAAAAGCTGTGCCTAAATAAAGTCATAAAAACAGATTTCTTGAAGATTTAATTGAAATGCACTAAAAAGTTATATATAACTGATCTGTTGTTAGGCAGTCACAAGCTCACCTACCTCTAGAGGGAGCCCCATACTACAATTTGAGGAAGTCTCCGTCTTCATTTGTTTTTTGGAAGTTACTACAGTATTGTCAGTGTTTTAACTGAAAACCAGTGGGACCTGAAAATAAGCTGTTGTGGGAGGATGCTACATAAAAGCAACACACTGCTCATTAATTAGCGCAAAGAATTAACATTGAGGCTTTCTAAATCGTCTCTCTAGGCTACGGTTCATTTAGCAACGAGATTAAATGCTGCCACCTGACACGGGCCATATGTTTGGCTCGCTGGAAAACATCTCAGGAGAGAAAAATCATCCAACCGGAGCTGGGAAGGTTGTTTGTTTGTTAGCAATTAGCTTATTTCCCCTGCGAAGCATGGTCTTAGATGGAACCAACCAGGGAATGTTTTAGTTGTTGGTGGAAGGTGTGATCTGGATGAAAGTGTGGACCCAGGATTCATGGTGAATATTATGAGATTTTTCAGAGATTTCCCCTCGGTCTCATTGAATAATGCATGAACAGGTTACCTATGGCGAAACTCAGGAATATGCGAGACCTTGCCTATGAAAACACAATTCTTACCCTTTGTCCAAACTCCCCAGGTTCCCCTGGTATCCCCTGTGGTCCTGGGGGACCCTTTGGAGCAGAAAGGTTGGTGACAACACTGCCTTGATGAGACCCATCACACGGCATGCATCCGAACATTTCTCCATCATAACAGCCCAAAGGAAACATGCGAGAAGAAAGTAATAAATCCTTACAGGTGGTCCGGGTGGGCCGTCAGCCCCCGGAAGCCCTGGGAGCCCAAGTTCTCCCTGAAATTGGTCAAATCATTAGCATGTATTTGCATATTTTAATGAAACAAAAACATGGCGGTGAGGGGTAATAAACAGTGGCCCTCCTGACCTTTATTCATTTTTTTCCCACCCTCAAAATTGTCGAAATACTGCGCCATGTTTTGTTGATTCATAAAAATGCATTCTTTGTCGTTTGACTTGAGTGTGGTACTTAAAAAACTTTTAAATATGACCTTGAAGGGACCCATGTAAAATTGAAAAAAAATAATAAAATTCATATTATTTTAGTATTACTATTTCGTGCATAGCAAAATAGTTATTAATATGATTACCAGATTATATTACAAGAGTAACTCACCTTTTCTCCCCGTAGACCGTCTTTTTGGTACTAGAAAAAAGGGATATTTGGTCCATTTGTAAAATGAAATTAAAGTGTTTACAATATCATTTTGTCAGAAAATTATTTTCAATTTTTTTTGGATGTGTGTGTGTGCATGTGTTTTGGCACTTACCACATCACCAGGTAATCCGGGGATTCCTCGCTCTCCCTGTGACACAATTCCCAGAGGAATAAAGAGCCCATCAAAATTAAGAACTCCTAAACTTCCTCGGGCGACATGATAACGAGTAGTTCACGATAACTGTAGTCATAAGCATGCTGGTCGTGTGTTTGTGCGTGCACATTTCAGGCAGACAAATGAGCATGCTGACTTTTGATGGTACGAAAAGAGACAGAGGAATGTCTGGAGTGTTTACACGCATACTTTAAAAACTGGTTACACCTTTATGAAATGATTCATAGATGTGCATAGTGACATTAATTATGATGGTTTATAGTTGGAGAGGGAGGGATGGGGGCATACCTTATCACCTTTTCCCCCACTGGCTCCGGGCAAGCCAGCCTCTCCCCTCAAGCCCTGAACAATTTCAGAGAAAAATATGATGATGATGATGATGATGATACAAAACCAATCTTTTCACTCTTAGCACAAAACTTACATCTTTGCCGCGAATGCCGGGTTTTCCAGGTAATCCATCGAAGCCGCGCTCACCCTAAAAAGAGAGGAGCTTTCAAATATATGACATGAAAATAACATAACCGTGAAACATGATGAATCTTTTTTCCATAAAAGGTTTACATGTCCATTTGCAATACATTTACATTGCATAGCCAATAAAAGAATCTAATTGATCTTAACCGGTCCAAAAATCATTATCTATTTACCACAAATAATCTTTCTATGCTAGCAACCCAGCCGCTGGGGGGCAGTGCCCTCCCCTGGGGGTGCACTGTTCCCCAGTGCCGGTCCCAAGCCCGGAGAAATGGGGAGGGTTGCGTCAGGAATGGCATCCGGCGTAAAACTTTTGCCAAGGCGACCATGCGAGTTGGTAGGACGGTTTACAGGGGCGGATGGAAATTACTGACTCGCTGTGGCGACCCCTGAATAGGGACGTGCCGAAAGGAGAAGAAGAAGAAGAATCTTTCTATGCTAGCAATGTGCAGTGACCCCAAAAAATAATTAAAATCTCTTCCACTAGATGGCAGAAGGTACAATTGTAAACTTGTCTATATAGCATTTGCCATTCATAAAATAATTTCAGGTCATGACTGCAAAGCACTACTTGGACCTCCTCAACTCACTTCAATCACCTTATTTCATCATGGTTACTTGGCAAGAAGATGCAACAAGATGGCGACAAAGCACTACATGAAGCTTAACTCACTTCAACATGAAGTAGTTGTTCCAAAGTAATACTTTTAAAGCTCTGGCCTGACCAAAAATAAATAAATCTAATGGAATATGGGGCAACATCGTACTGTATTCATTTTGAACAGGTGCTGCAGGTTACGGCTTATTTTGAATTCTGTGTGCTATCATGTTGTAGATGTCGATCATCAAAACCAGCGGCTGCTCAGGCTTGTGTGGGAACTTTGAAATTGGCACCATCAGTGAAAAGGCCTTTTCAGAATTAAATAAAACAGAAGAGCGGTCATTCCACAGACAGAGAGAGATGAGAATAGAGGTCAAGTAAATGACGACAAGTCTCTTCATCACTTTCTCGAGTACTTCCCCACTTTTGAGCCCCAGGAATTTGCTGACTTGCAGTTTGAACGACAGGCAGCCTGTGCTGATCGTGTCAAGCCGGAGCTTTTGATGGGATTTCAGTCTGCTGACAACCTGCTTTTCATCTTTGTTGCCATGTGACAAAGTCGTCGAGGGTTTCTGTACCAATTGGTATTCTAGCCAAGGGTCAAGATTATGTGGGCAACAGACAGGTGGCTTGTCCCTTCTGGGATCACCGTGATGTGCGCGATGTGTGATTGAGGTGTTCTAGATGCTTGCGGAAGCTCGAGATGTCAACAAAGTATCTGTGGGTTTCGGGAATTAGCTGCACTGGAGCCAAAATAAGGCCCCACATGTGAAGCAGACAGGAAGCGGGATGAGTAAATCTAAGAAGTCACATCTGTTTGTGCAATTTTATGTCCCTCTGTTTGCGCTTTCAATAAGAGGACTGAGGTTCACTATGAGTCCTCAGGAATGACCACATGCGCTGGTTTAACCAAACACCTTGATCGTTTAACCAGATGCATGGACAGGGAACCTGTTCCCACAGAAACTTAATAGGATTTCATATTTCGTGATTCGTGATTTCGTGATTACTCAAAAAAATAAAATAAAACGTGCAAGCAGGAGGGCAAGCCAAGTAAGTAAACATTTTTGGTACGAATATAAGTAAATGTGATGCTGCATTTAAAAAAATAATAATAAAAAATGTACTTAATTACAAGCAACATTGTGACAAATTTCGACATTTTCCATACTTCAAAAAAAAGTGCATGCTTTCACAACAGCAAAACATTTAGTTGAATCGCCCAACTTCGAATGTTTGCGAAGTTGGTTGCCTTGAAATTTTGAGTTCACTTTTTTTTTTTAACGGTGTTATTAAATAATACTATTTTGATGCTAATCCGGATAATTGTGCACGATTTCTTTGTAATTATTAACATTATTGTGGCAGTTTATCTGACATTTCCTGAATTTTTCAAACATTCATGAGCCTTATTCAGAAAGAGATTGACACCCGAGCCGAGGTATACACCTCACCAATTGCCATTGTAGTTAATTTGGACAACAGTTGTTTTGACTTAAAAAGTTGTAATCACTCATCATATACAATTCCCAATTTAAACACATCCAGGAAAATGTGTCAATGTGAATGAAGCGTGGTACAAATACAGCATCACTTACGCTGGCTCCTGTTGATCCCTTTTCACCTTTTTTCCCCTCGTCACCCTATGAGAAAAAGAAATCTGGTGAAATTTCTAGAACATGATGATGTTTATGACTTAACAGTGAGTAAGTGCAGACACTCACAGTGACACCTTTTAGTCCTGGTGTTCCTGGATAGCCTGCATCACCTTGAACGCCCTACATTGTATAGCAACAACATGATGAGATCAATTTTAGAGTCAACATGATAGATGTACATTTAATTACTTCATCACTGGTTTTCAACTCGTCTCATGAGGACCCGCATTTTGCTGTTGTAACTAAGCCGTGACCCACTTCAATAGACGTTTCGAACAAATAAGAAAAGGTACTGTCTATCATTGCCTATAGATGCCACAAGATGGAGGCAAAGAATTACATTTATCGAAATGAAGCTCCTCAGCTCACTTCGAATTGTTTCTTTGGCATCTAGTAGCCACCAGATGGTGCCAGAGCACTAATTGTTAGCACTCTGATCTGAGAAAAAAAAAAAAGTGAATTTTTTTTAAAATGTTGATGGAGGACTGGTACCTCCCAAAAAAGCTGAAACGTAAATATGTATGATTTGTATTCGGCAACACTACACTGTGAATGGAATCTATAGTGGGAGCGGATCACCCACCTTTTCTCCAATCAGACCAGGAAGTCCTGGATTGCCAGTCCGCCCAGCCTCTCCCTAATTAAACGTTGATAAAAAGTGTACAGATTTCAATTCATTCTCAAAATATATTCCCACAACAAGTATTTACTTTTTCGCCTTTTTCTCCAGATAGACCATCGATACCGGGAAAACCGCTGGCTCCCTGTCAGGTCATTAAAAACACAAAGTCAGAACCCGTCGGCGAACTGTTTGGATTCAGAAGGCAAATCCGCTGTGAGTCCAGGTTCAGGAATGCCAGACCTTCTCTCCTCTTTGTCCAGGAGCACCTGTCAGCCCTATGTTGCCTCTATCACCCTGGTCAAAGAAAATACTTGTTATTCACGACGAGCAAGGCTCGAGCATGCAGGGTGGCGAGGGCGTGCTGTCACAACCTGTTAGCGCCACAAAAGAAAGCTTGGTCAGTTGATTGATTAGGTATGGTATATTCTTGGACACAAAATGTTAGAAACACACACACACAGACAAAACTGAGAAACATTTGATAAGGACACGCAATGGTCCAGGCATAATTTACCATTTGTGTTTGGACTTGGTACCTTACTGTCTAAACTCAGTTTTGGGATTATTTATTTGAGCCTGCTCGGGATATGGTAATTTCAAGAGGTTCTTTGTGGGTATGATCTGCAGCACTGACCATAATCGGGTAGCATTAAAAGTACCTAAACCTTTAAGGAGAAAACCTTTGAAAGTAATGGCTTTAAAATCACACTGTGAGCGAAATAAAAAAAAAAACAAATGAACATGCTGTACAGTGCATGTATATAATTTGAACACGCGTCATTTCTTTCATCCGAGATTAGGATAAAGACCGTCTCTGCTGTTAAGTGATATTACTTAAAACAACATTGCTTCACAGGGGAATTGCCCTTGTGAATGAGTCACTGAAAGGTGCAATTAGAGGCAATGAAAGCGGGATGAATTCACTTTCACACCTTGCAACGCAACGACCGAAATTGCTGTGTTTTTAAACTGCAGTGCAGAGCTGGTTTTTGTCACAGTGTTTGCAGTTTAAGCAACAAATTGCACCTAGCTATGGCAGAGAGAAAAAAAAAATCATGCAATCAAAAATGAACAGCGATGCTGAGTAGTATATGTAGATTTTCATGCAGTATTCCGACACACACACACACACACACACACACACACACACACACACACACACACACACACACTCGCATGCAGTAAGTTAGTGTGGCTGCTCAGAGACAAACAGAATGGTTAATACGGCACATGCAGCGCCATTAGCGACAGGTTTACTTACCTTCTCACCTCTACCAGAGATGACGTTGCCCTGCAAATAATTAATCAACAAGGATTAATTATTATCGAGGCTGGCAGAAAGCCAGAAGGAAAGCATGCAGTCTGAAATGACCTGTGTGTTTGACATTAAACTTAATTAAAGCAAGTTGGAGTTTTTCCATACACTTTCTCCCTTTTCTCCTTTGAGGCCCGAAAAACCAGTGGCACCTCGAAGGCCGGTTTCACCCTGTAAAAGTAGCCCCACACAGTGAAACGGAACCATGAACGTGTTGAACAAACTATGACTACAAACTAGGGGTGGAAGACCTTTTCACCCTTGAGACCTGCACGGCCAGGTGCACCAGCCTCTCCCTGCAAGGAATCAAAAGCCGTTAAAGAGGAAGTGTTGTGGGAGTACAAGTCAGGGGGACAGAGAGAAGGAAAGAAATCATTCACCTTGTCTCCAGCAGGGCATGAGCAGTTGGCTTGGGGGCCCCTCTGCTGCTCAACTGTAGTGGGCGTCGGAGTGGGGATCGCGATAGGAGGAGCCTCAGTCACAACCTTCTTAGGGCACTAGAATGAGTACATTATTTCAGTCACGCATTATTATTTACCCATCCATTTTCTACACCATTTGACATCATTCGGGTTGCGGGTGGGCTAGAGTCTACCAGCTGACTTAGACCAAGACCTGACAGGTTGTTAGATAATCTCAGGCCACGTTTAGACAATCATTCACCTTTGGATAATGGCTCATCAATTGACAGCGCAAAATTGACACCGGACAAAAAAACATGTCTGTGCCAGACTGCAGGTCAATACCCATGAGAAATTAAATTTCCATCTCTATGCTTCAAATGCATCATATACGATTGATGCGATCCCTGGCAGGTTTCTTGAAACAGGGCCTCTTCTTCACAGCCCACGCAGCAAAAGGCCTGCTACTACCACCACTGGTGAGGACACCAATCTCATAGTGCAGGGATCCTGAGTGATGAAGATTTACCCGTACTGACTTCATGTTGTTGAAATGCTTCAAGCTGAGGAGAATGATATTCCACAATCTGACAATTCAAGAACAGATCCTGTTTCTAGAGTTAAAATTGTATGATGCATTGGAGCAGTGGGATGGCCAGAAAGCTTCTCAAAAATTATTACCAGCCCAAGCTGCAAGGCCTCTTGCCCAAAATCAGCTGGGAAACACTCGAGAAAATGGATAAAAATATTCCAAAGATTCTTTGGGGACGTGCAAAAAGGTCATCCTGAGATCAGCAGTCATGCTCAAGCAGCTTGATTCGAAAATATGAGCTGTGGTTGTAGGGGGAACTGCATGTCATGATATTATTAGATATTGCAATATTTCATTCGAAGCCACACTAACCAATGTGTCAAAAAGAGGCCAAAAATAACTAAATCCACGCGAAATTCCATTGATGTGTACTCACAGGCCCATTGGGTAAATCGCAGCAGGTTTCCAGCTCGGCATGTTTGGAGTCGCAGTAAATAACCATCCTCTGGAGGTCAAACTGGGGGGTGAAGAGACACATGAGCGACACTGCGGACTACGGAGACTGATGACACTTTGCAGAGACACTCACATCAATTGGCACGCTGTCATACAACCTCTTCCCAATGACCGTCTTTCCTTGGATATCGATGTCCTCCCTGTCGCCAATGGGCAGTGTCTGAATGTGTTTACAGTCCAGGTAGAGAGACACGGTCTTGGCCTCCACGCTCAGGGCTATTTTGTGCCAGTTGCGGTCAAAGAGGTTGTCCACTTCGGAGTTCCTGAAAACAGCTCGGACGGCGTCTTTGGTTAACCCTACGGCGTTGTACTCCACCGCCTTGTTCTCACCGTCCAGCCTGATAGACACCTGACAAGATAGACGGAGGACTGTGTTGACAGCAACCTGATGCTATGGGGCCGTCATTAATGCAGAATTCATTGACAGATTATATCGAGGCTGTGCGCATCTTTATTTTCCTTTATTTTTTTCAATTCTATTTCATTGAAATTCATTTTAATGCTCTATGAGTCATTAGCTCATACAATGTAAACATAACTGTATTAATCGTATGTTTACATTGTGAGATTAATATTGTGATATTGTTGAATGAAATCATTTCATAAGAGCAACCTTTAAAAATAATTTGAGAAAATTCGATTCAATAAATAAAATTTGCTTGAAGGAACTTTTAAGTACTAGTAGTCAATTTTTATAAAACACTACAATTCCTAATGTAAAACAATTAGGAATTAACGTAAGATAGCAACCTTTAAATATAATGATTTACACGAAACTACATTCCATTTAATGACTGTCTTAGCATTAAATATAATTAGTTGGACATGTGGAAACCATGTCACGTTTCCTTACTATTAATAATAATAATAATAATAATAATCAAGGTACACTTGTGAGCTGATCCTAACCTGAGTTGACCTCATCATTCGCCAAAAACCTAAAAATAGAGCCATTGGTTGCATTTTGGGGTTTGCTGACCCACCTGCGGGATTCCATATTTGTCAAAGATTTGCCAGAGGTACCAATCTTCTCGTCTTGAGGTTTTCCGGAATTTGAACGTTGTTACAAAGGCGTACTCATCCGGCAGCCCCTGAGGGAACACGTCCCTACGGAAAGCAAGCACACTTTGAAATAGAACAAATATTGGCCGGCTGAAGCGCAGTGTTAGTATCGTCTCTAATGACTGAATGTACTAATCACATTTTTCTGTCTCCAAAAAGCAGTTAAAGGGGTCGACCTGAGACTATTGGACCCTGTTTGCGCATTGTGTATATTTCTAACCGACGTGTATGTCAGATGCCCAATAAGTCCCCCGAGGGACTAATAAAATGGATGAAGCCAAATAGATCTCCGGGATGTTAAACTGCAAAACATGCAATCGAAAGAGAGTTAGAAGAGCAGCCCATTTTCTTTTAATTCACATCGCCGTACTCGATGTTTTAGAGCTCAGGCCAACTTGTTTAAACCAAAACTTAGCAAGAGTTAACAGTTTGCATTTTGAATGACTTAGCATCACAAGTACCTCATTTGTATAAAGTGCATTTGATTGATATGACTGCCAATTGCACGCCATGACAGTTGGTCAAAACTGGTCACTGATGCTAGTGAGTGAGTCTTGGTGGGTCGTGTTTAAGATCCCAAAATACTGATATTTTCATCTGAACAAACGTTCAGGCCCACCAAAAGGACTAGACCTTAGAAGGACTTGGTCCAAGTTCATATACGATGCTGGACATATGACAATTGCTGCTTCAAACCAAAATGGCTGACTACTTCTTGAATTTGGCTACTTACTCTGTCTGCTGCACAATCGGCATGGTGCCAAGCCGAACGTACGCACTCTGACCCTCATCAAGTCTGGTGCCCAGAATATCTCGAACGCTGAAGTAGTCCATCAGGTCAAAGCCTGCATGAGAACACAGTAAAAAAGAAGCACACAGACGTCATTCCAGCACTGAGGTCAAGTAAGGATTTATATGGATGTCAGTGACACAGTGTCAAATGTTGGCTTGTGTGTTATAACGAGAGGAAAAAACGAGTCACTATCACTGGTGCAATCCCCAAATGGGAGTCTTTAAGTGCACGTGTGCGCATGTTTGACGTTTGAAGTGGCGCGACCACAGACCATACATTCGTGTGGCGTGAAGGGGACACTCCCTCGTACAGTAAACAAACGCTGCAGCTATGGCGACGCCTGATGATGGCCGCGACGAGTTGATCCAGATGACCTGAAGGACATTTCGCGAACTCTTTTGAAAGTAGACCATCACATCAGTTCAAATTAATCATAAGTATACGGCAAGGGCTACAAAAGATTAGATTTCAACGAGCAATTCCTGAAAGAGGACCCAAGAACCAATGAATGTTTTGAGAAATCCCTTTGAAACAGGTGGTAGAAACCACATAAGAATGGTGGAAGCAAATTAGAAAACAGTAACTAACATAAATCTTCAAAAAGATTCTGAGTCAAAGTAAACATCAATGTCTATTTAAAACAAACAACTTCACCTTATGCAAGTCCAATTAACGCTAACACATAAAACTATTGACGGGCTCACGATGAGACTCTCTATGGAGTTGTTATAATGATTCAAGAAATCGATAATTGAAAACAAATGCTGCAGCAACACCTGCAGACAGACAAGCTTTTTTTTTCACTCTGTTACTATGTTTGTATGAAGCATGTTACTTCAGCAAAACAATCAGATGTAAATGAAAAATGAACAGCAACATTAATGTTATGAATGTATGATAACCATTCAATTTCCTACCACTTTCGCTTTTTCTCCTTGATGGCAAAACACGAACAAGATAAATGTTTCCAGCTGTCTGATTTGACCCCATTACTGTTGTTTTAGGCACAGAGCGCCGCTCATACATAGCTGGCTTGCCTCCTCCCCGGTCACCAGCTTGCATTGTGCGCACTCGCACACCATGCTGCCTCTGTGCGGTTGTTTGGAGGCCATCGTTGCGCAGAGTTGTAATTTAGACTGGCGATGCGTCCTGTATAATCAAGTCAGAAAGTTATTTTGGACGGCTACGAAAACGACCATTGGTGGCGAGGGGTGGGGGAAATCTTTGGGAAACGGCAGAGGGTTCATGGACTGGTAGACATGGTGAAGTTCTTTTGACGGGAGCAGATGTGAATATTTGCACCGCAGCACGTTCAGACGAAAGGGTCCGACCAGACGCCCGACGGGAAATAAAAATCCGGAATAAGCCGCAAATTGTCTCGGTCGTCACGACCTGATACATTGCTGTGACGTTACACCTTCTTGCTCCTGCTTCTTGGGGAGGTTTACATGAGAAAATCTGAACAAAGTTATTCAGATTTAAAGTTCTGATCATGTTTTCTGACAGGGGCGTTGATTGGAATGTTGGTAAGAGCAGCTCCGTGCATTTTCTATAAAACTTGTCTTATTCAGGGCAGCGGGTGGGTTGGAGCCCAGCACAGCTGGATGAAGTGCAGACTGCACTCTGGGCTGGTCAACCGCGGGGCACAAAGATAGTGACAGACAACGATTCATATTCCACACCAGCCCTCAATGGGAATTATTGAGTTGAGGGTGTTTTTGAATTCACTACGCCTAAGTGGGCGTACCTTCCGTGGCCCAGGAATATCTGCAAATCTGTCATTGAATTTCATTCATAAATATGACTCCAGCATGGGAGAATCACTCTGAATTATTGTGTAGGTCAATTCATTGAACGGATTCTAATCATTATCATCTTAAAAGTATTTCATTAGCACCCTCGTCGATTTTTGAGAGGGAGGGAAAGGCGCACACACGATCGGGGGATACAAAGCGGTCTCCAATTGGCCCCATCACATGCATGGTGGACGCCATCAACCACAATGGGAGATCTTGCAGTTCACCTGCTAACGTCATGCACGAACCCCAGCGAGTCTCTATCTGTTCCGCAATTTCAAACATGGCATACTTGGACCGCCCTGATTTTGATGGAAATGAGGGATGCCACTCGAATTTGCCTGCAAAAGACTACTTCCATCCCACACCTGCAAACAAAGGTGCAAATACCCCATCACACCCACTTCTACCTGTGGAAACTCTAGCAACATAAACTGAAAATAAATAAATAATCCAGCCATGGGCGGAGTTAGGGAATAAGGAATAGAACTGGGCTTAATTAATAAGATGCCTCAACGGGAAACAGACTACTACGAGTGGTTGAATACTAATAGGTAATATTCCCACTGCAAAAATCTAACTTCAGGACCTCTCATCCCAGAAACGGAGCAGGAGTGCAAACAGTCTGTACATCTGCTTTTTCTCTCTGCACCATGTACGTGGGTGGGAGATCTAGACAGGAACTAGCATTGCCCCGAAAGACACTCTTGTAACACCATCCAAACTTTCTGGAGAAATGCTGTCCAAGTGTTCTGAGAAAGGATTAATGGGAAAAGTGGGGACAATCTCACAGTACAGTCCAACATTTTTTTTTTTTTTCAGAGAGAAGTCCCACATGCATTCAAAGGCCAATATGAAGTAATTTTCCTATTTGGGAAGTGCCACGCCATACGTATCAATGACATGCAGGTTACATGAGAAGATCACTTTAAACCACGTCAGGTTGAACATGGTACAGACAGTATGCACGCACCAGACAATTCATTAGGTACATGTGTCAAATTTAATGTGATTCAACATAACGTGTATGCATGATCATGTTTGCACGTTTTAGTGGTGTTGAACTACTTTGCATCATACCGAGATGCTGTTTGGAATATTTAGCTTGTGTCTCCTCGATAAAAAGACAAAATAGTAGAAACAGCTGCCAGAATGATGCGCTGCAGTTCTACACCACTGCAAAATACAATTTCAATAAATATTATATATGTTAATCAATATGTTTGTTTTTTTGTTTTTTTTACACTGACCTGGAACTTGCTGAAGGCCATAACTGGTGCTTTCCTGTTTAAAGCGATCAGGGTGTACCTTCATGTTTGGGCATAATACATCTGAGGGGAAAAAGACACATGTCAGGATGCAGATCAGGCGATTAGAATAGACAGCCACCTAAAAAAGGTCAGTAATTGCCAAGAGATGCCGTCATACGAGGTCCGACTTAGGTCTGACTATATGAAGCTCTCCCCTTCAGTTCAACATACTTTCTTGGCAAAAAGATGCCACAAGATCTTGCGTGAAAAAAGAAAGAATAGGTCAATGAATCAGTGAGCCTTTCATGTGAATAACAGAGGATAGGTTCCCTCAGATGGGAAAAATAAATAAAATCCATAAATGGGCAAATATTGAACCAAGAATATGCAGAAGGTTACTGAAATGTTTTGAGAAATGCATTTGGTGGGCTGACACGTGAAGTCAAAGAACAGACATTTGTCCCCTGACTCTCTGAGAAAAGGTCGTTTACATGCGGGAGCAGAGGGGTTGTTTTGGGCTAGCCGAGGGGGGCCCACTCGAAAGTCAGTCTTCTATTTCCACACAGCCTTATTTTGCACATTGTGATGACAGAAGGAAAGACAACACTGGAGGAATTCAATGGCCGGTTTGCTATTTGTGTAAAGATGGCAGCTCTCTTACTCAAAAACACAACTTCTGTTAAGCAGAAGTAAACATTAATTTGGCCTGAACACATTACAAGAAGACAAGAGGTCAGTAATTGTTGAACTGTGGTTCCATGACATTAATAACAGTAATTAATATACAAAAGTGAGTTAATGTTTTTGTGAGCTGCCCATTTCTGAAAATGTGTTTGCCGGCAAGCTGTTGTGAATTTTTTGAACACCCTCATGATATTGTCCAGCTATTTTACAATTTTACATTATATTGCTCCCACACTGTGTTTCTCTGCCAATGATTAAGCAGGTATGCTGGCTGAGGATCGGCCATTTTCAAATGGCCTACACAGAAGAACTAATGTGTCAAAGCATAAAGGTATGACGACCTGCAGTGTCAGCAGAGATTAGCATTGGATTTGTGCTCGTTTGGCTCATGTACGGATCCGCTACATTAATTGACAAAGTGTAATTCGGTGCTGCTTGGTGCTGACTAAGAAAGTGAAGATACAGAGTCACTTGTTTGTTGCTAGACACTTAAAAAAAAAAAAAAAGTCAATAAGATTAAGGGGAAGAAAATGCAGACCTTGTATCCTATAAATCACACCAGGATGATGAATGGGGGAGAAAAGAAAAAGTGTTTCATGAGCATGCTTTTGGTAAATTCCAACAAAATCCAACGTGTCATTCATCATTTCAGTGGTAATTTTACTCGCATGTATCTATTTTGGAGAGACGGAAAAAAAGTATTTTCTCAACAGCTTCTTGAAGCGATAATGCAACAGCCCTTTATTGTCTGCGAAGCCCACAACTCCCAGCAGAAATTGCACAACTGTGAGGGCAATGCATGTGCGTCACCGTTTTTTTTTTTTTTTTTTTTAGGAGCGCTGTCGTCGTGCTGCCATGACAATCCGCTCGCTGGACACAAAGAGCAGAGCTACTCCCTGCACTTGTGGCCCTCCAGACTATAATTTAGGGCTCCGGCTGTGAGTTAAAATGGTTGCAATGCAAAAAAAGTCTTACACTATGAAACAGAATATCTCAAACTGATATATATTTTTTTTCATCTGATCAGCGGAAGCTAAATGTTGATGCCCACAACAACCCAGACATCTATGGTGCCAAATTTTTATTGGCGCAACCCTTGTATGCGATTACTGTGGAATTTAACTGTTAAATGTTATTTGGTCAATTCAGTTATGTTCGATTGTGTCTCCACATACTGTCGCATGAAATGAATTTGATTTTTTTTTGCAACTATTGATTAAAAGGTGAAAATAATTGAACGCTGACATCAGGGCGGCCTGCAGTGGACACACTTAAAACAAGGAGAGCTGTAATTTTCCGGGTGAAAATAGCCTGCACTGCTCAACGACTCCACCAGTGATATACTTATAGTCTCACTTGTGGTCATTCAAGAGATTGCGGAAATAAAAACTTGCTTTTAGGAAAGATTTTGCCTCTTGCCGTCTTCTCCTTTTACGAAACGCTGCCAGCCAAGGGGTCAGTTATGCAAGGTTAAAGGGCAGTTCCTTTGAAATGAATAGCCATGCTTTCAAAAAAACAAGTACTGGGTTTTTTTTTCCAGCTGAGCTAAGTGACACCATTCAGTGACATGTCAGAGTGACACCACAGAATCAGATCCAATAGAATTAGTACAGTATTTCCTCTTTGCGGCATAAGAAACAAGGCCTCATTTTCTTTCCTCACGGGGTTATTTTAGGCAGGAATTCTCATGCGTTTGAGTCGAGCACATCCATCATTCCCTGTGGCGCATTTATATGGAGAAAAATAGCAGGGCACCAACCACTTAGGTAAGCTACATACCGGGAAGTCTATAGGGCGACTTACTGTCTGGTGCACTTCCAATTTCTCTTGCATTTTGCACAACACGACGACCAACCAAAAGTATGTGGAACAAACAAAAAGTATGCAGCGGACACACAATTATAGATTGACCACTTGTTGTGAGGTAGAATTCTTTGGTCCCAACCATTTGTGCCCCAAATGAAGACAACTGGCATATGCCAGTCATGGCCTCGAAACTGTCTGAATCATAAAGAGGACTGAATTATATATACTAAATCAATTAAATCACTACTTTGCGTTCCTTCTAAACATATTTATATGGAAAAAGTAGGGCATCAACTATTTAGGTACGTACAGTACCACGAAGACGACAACCTTACCGTCTGACGTGATTCCAGTTTTTCTCCCGCATTATATGATTCAACATACAATAAAACCTACTCCAGAAATTAAAAATATAACTGCCGACGCAACAATATAGACAGCCAGCACACATCTTCGACTATTTAAAGTACCTCTTATGAACCCCACAAAAAGTGCAGATGTTCACGTAAGCTTTTTATCCGGGTAAAATAAAGACCTACTGTGATGACATACACACTGAGGACGTGGCGTCTTAAAAGCGACCATGCCAAGTGAGTAATGACCGACTTACTTTCGCACAGCCTCCTCCTGAGTCGGCCCCTGATCTTATCAATGGCGTTGAAGTCAGTCACGTGGAAGACGTGAGCGTTCTTTGGCTCTGCCGCAATCTCCTCCAGCTCCACTTTCAGGGCCTCACCGATGCCCACCGCAAACATCCTGATGCCTGCCTGGGCGGCCGCACTGGAGGGCTCCAGGACGTAATCCTGACTTCGGCCGTCCGTGAGCAGGATGGCCACCTTCTGGATTCCCCTGGCCGCGGGCCTCGCTCCGTTTTGTTCCAAAAAGATGTTGTTGGTGGTGTAGCTGATAGCATCCCCAGTCATTGTATTCCCCCCCAGGTAGCGTATGTTCCTGGCGGCTTGCTTCACCTCCTCCAGGGTCCTGTATCTCCCCAGGTGGAACTCGGTGGTGGGGCGGTCACTGTAACGAACGACGGCCACTCGGGTCTTGTCTGGGGCTACGTCAAAAGACTCCACCAGGTTGGCCACCCATTGCCTGATCTTCTCAAAATTCTCCTTGCCCACACTGGACGAGGTATCCAGGATGAACGCCAGGTCATAGTGGACATTTTTGCACCCTGACATGAACAAAAGATCCACATGAACATAGACCTTAACTAATTAGAACCTAGCCAAATACACTTACCTGCCCGCTGCGCTTCCACTCTCTGCCCAGAAAGAGTCACAGCCAGGATGACCAAGACCAGCGTGATCCTAAAGCCCAGTCGGAATTCCATCTGAGACATGGTTTGACACGGTTCTCTTGATCTTATTAGCACCATCCAAGTCTCTAATCTGGGGAAACATCAACAGTATGCGCTTCATAACTGACAATTAGGAGTGGGAAATCTAACCTTAAATGAGCAGATGCTGGGCAGTTTTTATTTCTGCAAAGAAACCAAAATGTAACCGTTATTATAAAAGAATGCTTTTGATCATGTTTACTGTCCTGTCTAATGCAAATCAGATGGTTTCCAGTCTAAATTGTCTTCTAATGCAGTGTCCAGTTTGAATTTCTCTGCATCAGCTTTTGAACTTTGGCAATAGATGTCCTCTATTCTCAGGATAATAATACCCATGACCAAAATACAGAAACCTCCCAGAGGAAACTGGCCTCACCAAAGATTGTTGGGAAAACGTGCCAAACTAATTTCATGATGTCCAAACACCATGAGACAGAAAATATGACTTTGCAATTTTTAGACTTACTTCAGTTAGAAATCCACAGAGGTGATTCTGGGTTTTCTTCGTAGCAGGTCTCTGAGGATAACTATTTTGGGCATTGTTGTGGAAAATTATACAGCTGGAGCGTCTTGTGCCAGTGTAGCAATGACACGAAGGTGTCACATCAACACAAAACCCCTGTTTGGCCTTATTGTACACAAGTGGTTGTGATGAGGCGGATGCGTGACTGGTCCTAGCCATAATAAAGTTTCATCACTACTGGCAAAGATGCCTCAAGTCCAACAAAACTAACCTTCTGACCTCTTTGTGCATTTATTCAACTACTTTAAATATTTATGGTCCAACCAATGAATTGTCTCAAGTGTGTTTAATTCCCAAGGCCCCAACACCGCTCTATCATTAGTCTGTGAATATTTCCATTCATCCAGGTCTTTTCATGCTCAGGGCATTGAATCAATCGCAACCGAGCTGTTCTGGTTGTATTAAAAGATTACCATTTCAATAAACTCACTATTATTTGCCTTATTTTGCCTTTGGGGCACTTTTTTGAGCAAGGAATGATATCGCTAACTTGTCGCATGTTAAAATTTCACATTTTGACGCATCCTCTTTGAACGATGAAGTTTGGCCTCAGAGCATTGCAGTCGAATGTCAACAACAAACATGGCTGATGACCTCAATAAGCGCCATAGTCGGTATGCTAAAAGCTAGCGGGCAGTATACTAACAACAAAGCTCATGTTTTTGTTGTGGTCACGTTTGAAAATGTCCCAGTTTTTGGGGAATGTAGCATTGATTGGATGTCAAAAGTGGACTCTGTATGTAGTAGAACCAGGTGATACAGTATACTGTATATACTAGCCAACCAGTGAAGAGCGCCATATTGTTACAGTGAGGACTTTTACAATAAAACATTTGACTCGCAATACATCTTTGGTCGTCAAAAACACAATAGACTTTGGGAGGATATTTTACAAGAAAATTACAATTAAGATGTTGAAGTCATACCATGATTGTGTGACAAATTGGAGGTGGAGTACATTTTGGAGGGGCACCACCTCACCTAGCAGCTTGTGAAGCACAATATTATTTACTCTGCGTAAATGAAAGTCTTATCTGATGGTCCATTAGGCTATTTCTGCCTCTTGGTTTCACTGGCGCTATTCAGTGTTTTGGGCATGTTACAGCAACTAATTGCCACCAATTTGTCTGGGACTGCCGGCCCAAGTAAGTTGATCCAATACTCTCCCCACAGGTCGTATGTGGTCTCGGTTGTCTTCCTTGGAAGCAACCATGCAGTAGGCTAAAGGAATAGTAAAGCTGTTTTATTTCCGTCAACAAGTGACTCTTGCTATGTATTAGGATGTGTGCTTGTTTCCACTTCCTCTTAACAGTTGACTTGGGAATGCAAGTGAAGATGCGTATAACACAAGCATCATGTTTTTCAAAAATTTCCATCAGTGTAACCCAACAGAAAAGACAAACAACGGTATTAAAAAGTAGATGATAAAGTACTGCTCTTATAACCTCTTGACTTGTTTTGAAAAAAAGCTGGTGAAGAAAGTGACTTGTTCTCACCTGCCTTGTTAATCAGCTCCACTGGAGGCGCGAAGGCGACCACTTGCCTGCAGGCCCTTACCGCCCGTATCAGCAGCCCCACAGCATCTTTCTCCAAATTGCACTCAAGTGGCGTAAAATTTGTTGAAATAATCCTGGGTGAAAATCCAGTGTGCAGTTAAAAATGTGAGATGGGTTGAAAGAACCTTGTGGATGGCTGCACAGAGTGGGAGGGAACAGTGCAGTGGTGGTGGGAGTGGTATTGGGTTTCAAGGCGCTGGTGGTGGTGGTGGTGGAGGGGGTGACGGGGTGGCTTCTATAGCGTATGCTTCACTCACACATAAAAAGCAGGGCCAATTATAGATCCAACTTTCAGGATATTTTTGTCCCCCACCCCTCTTCGATTTTTACCCCTTCCTTTCAAGCTGAACAGCCTCTCTTACGTTTTGACCATCTTGCCACCACAAGTGTCCACATTGCCATAGTGGAACCACCCTTTTGGGGCGGCTCCTGTTGGGTTGGGCCGGGCCGCACGCTTCTGGAGCAGGCCTGTGTTTAAGTTGGCCAAATGATTACAGAACAGCATTGCCTGCGACGTGCTGTTAGATGTCGGAACTGGTGCTGTGATCCCATTACGTAAATTCAATGTGTATCCGACACATTTACATGTGCCGGGCCGCAACATCTGTCTTTTTTTTAACTATATTTCTAAGTATAATTATTCTTTTCATTACATTTACCTCTTTAGATTTTTTTTCGTTTGCTACAACATCCTGGGCTGCTGGACAGTTAATCACAGAGCACATTTGAACACAACTATTCACCATCACATTCACAGCTACGGGCAATGAAGAGTCTTTAATAAACACATGGTATCTTTGGGGTGTGGGGCGAAGCACGGGGAGAACATTTAAACTTCACGCAGAAGGGGTCAAGCCACGAATCACACCCAGAACCTTTGAGGTGCTTATCGTGCGTGGGCTGGTGCTACAGCGTTCAATCAACCTACCAGGCATGATTTGGGGATGTGGGAGGAAACCGGAGTACCAGGAGAAAACCCATACAGGCAGCGGGGGAGAACATGCAAACTCCACACAGAAAGGATTCAACCCCGGACCTCTGCAGTGTGAAGTGGACCACCGTCCGGCCTGTTAAATTATCCCTCACAGTAAATGAGGACATAAAGAAAGTATTGAGCCACATAACCACAACCGGCTTAATTTAAGACTCACCTTCTGGCATGGTTTTTGCGGGATGTACAGCCTGATTTCACGGGCGCTGCCATCCTGAAAATGGGAATTAGTTGTCGCACTTTTGAACCAGGAAAAGTGCTGTTTGTAACCAGAAGTGGCAAATTCAGGTCCAGAAATTAAAAACTTTGTCACGGTTTGACTTTAGCCACAGGTGCTTCTACTCAATAGCCGGAAGCACCTGTGGCTAAAGCCAAACATCGTCAATATTGGTGATAAATACTGTAACGTTCACTTATACGAAGTACTAACGTCCCGATTAATCAGGCAAACAAGCTATAACAGTACTTTCAAATCTCACCTGGGATAATTTTGCGGAACGTACAGCCAGCCTGGTTTCACGGGCGCCGCCATCTTGAAAATGAGAATTAGCCTATCCGAGTTGTCGCACTTTTGAATCGGGAAAAGTGCTGGATGTAACCAGAAGTGGCAAATTCAGGTCCAGAAATTAAAAACCTTGTCACCGTTTGACTTTAGCCACACGTGCTTCTTAGCAACAGGTGCTTCTCCTCAAGAGCGAGAAGCACCTGTGGCTAAAGCCAAACAGTGGCACGGATTTTACTTTCTCGACCTCGGTTAGCCTCCTCTGGGTCTAACAATGAATTTCTTCCTCAATGTCAACTCTCGAACTCAACCTTGATTTCGACCAGTTTTCGCGTGGAAGCTTTCTTTTTTTGTGTGCACTTAACATAAAAAGGACAGGGCAAGAGTTGGTAAACCCACAAATACACACCTACAGCCAATTTAGAGTCTTTAATGAACACAACATGCATCTTTTTTTCAAAGTGAGAGGAAGCAAGGGAGAGAATATAGAAACTCCACACAGAAAAGCCCAATTTGAGATTTCAACCCAAGATCTTTGATGTGCTATCCACATTTGACCATGCTGACTTTCATTTGAATATATTTTGCAAAATGCATTCAAAGTACATCAAAGTCATACATGGAACATGACGTTTTCCCTCCAAGGTTGACATTTTGTGCCATGTGTGAATGGACCAAGATTTACTCAATGCAGATACACCCTGAATTGGTTGCCAGCCAATTGCAGAGCACACACTGTACAGACAAACAACCATTCACACTCACTTTTACACAAATGAATAATTACAGTAGTACAGTACCTTGGCCAAAACCCACACAAGCATGAGTAGAACTTCACACAGGAGGACCTGAGCCAAGATTCAAACCCGGAGGAAATTCTCGATTATGACCACAACTGCCGTTTGTATGTCAAACTCAAAAGAAACCAAAATTTGCATATTTTGAATTATTAGTCCAATAAAAATAATTCAGATTCAGATTTTTTTTCAACTTCATTTCTCACCGAATCACACATGAACATCAACTGTAAAAGTCAGACACATTCAGAAAGAAGGATTGTTTAGCCTTGGCAGAGGCCTGCGCTCAAGGGACTGCCATTCTAGTTTGGAAATATCCAAGCTGCAGAAAGTACTCTGATGTCAATGTGTGGTCAAACTGTCACACATACTTCCTGTAATTTTCTGCATCACTGACAGCTTTATGGTACTTTTTGAAAAGACATCCGCCACAATCTTGGGAAATAAATCTCTAGTGGCGCTGATGTGGCACTAAAATGCTCCAAAGCGCATAAGATCAACATTTGAATGTGACAGACAACAAATAACAGAGCCATTCCATGCAGGTCTATTTCCAGCACCTTTGTAGCCAAGGAAAGTGAGAGCGGCCAATGGCAGGCTATGTATAGATTGGCTCAGCGTGAAGAAGAAGGGTTGATGATAATTCCGGGCAGATGCATGTTATGAGCGATGCTGTCCGTCTGGAGGAGCGTCTGGTGCCGGCGTTGAGAGGGCTAAAGAGGTTCACAAGATGGACCGGCGGATGAGAGAAGACCATCTGGCATGCGACTGACCAGCCAGCTTTCATCCTCCCACATCTTCTCTGATATCTTACGTTCAACATGGGAAAAATTGCTGATTTTTTTTCCACCAAGCTTCCAGCCTGGAGGTTCTCGATACAAACATGGATGGGCACTATTTTTTTTTTTTTTTTGTCGTTTTGTGAGGGTGTTGGATGTTGAAGTGAGGTGAAGAGCTTAATTTAGTCAGGCCATAACCTCATCTAATAGGGAAAAATGGCTTTTGTGGCCTGACATCTGTAGGCCTCAGTCCCTATCCTGCGTAAATCGCTAGTAACAAGTAACATGTTCCTCATTTCATCTCTTAAATTTCTTGTGTTTTACATCCAGTTGTTGTACTCCAGGTTGAGTTTGAGATGGTGGCAATATTTTTATTCGATTGGCCGTTCTTCCCACATGGAGATATGCCATGATCCTGTCCTTGAATGAAATCATCATGGTGGCACTTCATGACAATTTCGTATATCCAGTAGGCCTTTCTGTGCAATGCCCAGAATGCATCTGGCCCCTCGAACCTCCAGCTTGCCCTCCTCCACTGCATCGGCCTGATCCTCATCCAGGTGCTGCTCTCTCCTCAGCCTAAGGCGCTTTCCGCTCCCGCCGTCCCGCTGCTGGGCCTTGCCGCGAAGTGAGCACCGCGAGTTAGCAGGAGGCACCGGTTTGCTGCTCAAATGAGCTCGGGTACCTCGGCACTGAACCTCCTCAAGGTTGCCGCTCCTGCTCGCCTCCATGGCCTCCAATCTCGTCAGCTGAGGCCTTGAAGGTCTCATTTGCGGGGGATGAGAAAAGGCCCCTTGAGCTTCTCGCTGGAAACTTTGCAGTTTTTGCCTCCGGCTCTTCACTACTTGATCAGACAGTGGCGCGAACTTCAGCGGCCGTATTGTTGGTCCTCCCCTGACCTTGCTCAGGTGCTCAGGTAAGGGCAATTTCAGAGGCACAGAGTCCAACAGCGCCGAGGGTGCTGTAACCTGTTCCGCTGCCTCTTCCCCATGTGTCGTGGACAAATGGCAGTCAGGTGTTTTTGAATGGGAGACATATTTAGCCGCCAGGCGAAGGTTTTGACCATTCAGACGCAATGCGGTGTTTTTAACTTGGATGGTCGACATTTCTTCCCGTCGGGGAACTTCCTGAACAAAACACACATCATGTGTCAGTCTCAACATGTACATGACCATCAATATTAACAAGCGCTGGACAAAATCAGACTAATTTCTCCATAGACTGGGCTTTCAATGTACGGTAGTTAGAGCCTGACAGGTTTAGAATTTCATTCTATGACTAGAAGTAATTTTCCCAGAGACTCATTTGAAGGAGAATATATCAAACATGACATCTTACATAAATCCGATATACAGTATGACAAACAATACATGAACAACATAAATTATGTTGAGGAATAAATGAATACTGTGTATAAATGTCACAGTGTGACAACATAAAATAATGCTCAAGTGAATAGGTTTAACATCATGCTTTCTAATGAGCCATGATTACTAAAAAAATCAATAAATAAAACTCCGTTAAGAACCCGACAAGATCGTCTTACAACATTTCATCATAACTGATGGATGTCAAGAGCTCATACATAATATTACTTAGCGACCGTCTATTACAAGGGTGAAAACAGAGATACACAGCCAGTTCTTGAAGATACAAAACAAACTTACCGGTGTATCTCCCTTGATCTTTTTTTGAGTCATGTCCTGTTTGTGGAAAAAAGGAAGAATGACCAACCAATTCTGTCACTGCAGCTCAAGTAGATTAAAGCAGCCTTAATGGGATTGCAGAGATTACGCTCACTAAGTAAAACTGGCTTCTAAGCAAAGATCCGAAGCCAAGTAAAGAAATGCCCTACCAACATCTTCACTGGGTTTTTTAGGTCATCATATTCAGTGCATTCATAAGAATGAATTCATTTTTAACACATAGAAGATTCACTCAGTTGAAATGTTGAGTACCAAGTGTACCTGATTTTAAAATAAATTACCTCAATTTGTTGTGCAGCAAATGTTTGACAGGTGATGAAAGTTGCGGACGAGTGACTTTCTCGGACTGAAGTGTCAAGATTTCACAGCCACCTGTAGAAGAACAAGACAAATTCAAGGGCATAGCCGGGTCAAGAATGTACTGTGTGATTGTGTTGTGCCTCTTCTCAGGCTGCTGCCAAGTTAGGCTTCATCACCTTGTGGGTGACACGACGCTTGGACTGGCGCGCTCATTTGAAGGTACTTTATTGTTCTCCATCCTGGACCTGAAAACAAAAACTGACATTTTCCCATCCGGCAGACAATTGCAATGTGTCGTGACGACCACCTGAAATGACCAAAGAACATCCAAGTGGATGCAGCGGCTCCAATGTTGGGAGACTCATGGCAGAGTGGAAACCTGACGCCGCCGGGTGAGGTTGAACTGGAAAACGTGCTTGAGGAGCCTCTGACCGGAAGCGGGCCAAGCTCCTGGAACTCACATGAACGCCCGTTCTGCACAACGCCAAAAACAAGAAACAAAGAGTCACCCTGGAGTCTGCCCCCCTAGCAAAAAAAAAAAAAAAAAAATGGGGGGAGGGGGAGCTTCGCTGGTGACGTCTCTCACGTCAGTCCATATTCATCTGCTTTTTGAAGTCACACCTGAACAAAATCAGATTGAAGCAAATCAGTAGCTTGGTTAGCACATCAACATTGAAGACCTGCAATTTTTTTTTTTTGTCCAACTAACCCAGCAGGTGCAGGATCTTTGTAGCGTGTTCGTCCCGGAAGCTGGCCCTGCATACAAAAAAATGTTCTTTTCAAATTTCAAATTCTTGGGAGTTTGTAGCCGACGTCAGAGTCGAACAAAATTGTCAAGGTAAGTCGTTTTTCGACGAAAAAAACGACCATGTATAGTAAGACGTTTTTCGACGAAAAAAACGACCATGTATAGTGAGGCGTTTTTAGCCGAAAAAACGACCATGTATAGTAAGGCGTTTCTAGCCCAAAAAAACGACCATGTATAGTAAGGCGTTTTTCGACGAAAAAAACGACCATGTATAGTAAGACGTTTTTCGACGAAAAAAACGACCATGTATAGTGAGGCGTTTTTAGCCGAAAAAACGACCATGTATAGTAAGGCGTTTCTAGCCCAAAAAAACGACCATGTTGGAGTCTGCCCCCCTAGCAAAAAAAAAAAAAAAAAAAAAATGGGGGGAGGGGGAGCTTCGCTGGTGACGTCTCTCACGTCAGTCCATATTCATCTGCTTTTTGAAGTCACACCTGAACAAAATCAGATTGAAGCAAATCAGTAGCTTGGTTAGCACATCAACATTGAAGACCTGCAATTTTTTTTTTTTGTCCAACTAACCCAGCAGGTGCAGGATCTTTGTAGCGTGTTCGTCCCGGAAGCTGGCCCTGCATACAAAAAAATGTTCTTTTCAAATTTCAAATTCTTGGGAGTTTGTAGCCGACGTCAGAGTCGAACAAAATTGTCAAGGTAAGTGTGGAAAAGTCGGGAATCAGGTACTTGAAGAAACGGCGTGGGGTTGGTCAGGTTTTCCGGAGAGCTGCAGCACCACCTGGTGGACATGAGTGAGCACAAGAAAAACCTGCGACTCACAAGAAAGCGTATCGGAGTTTAAAGTGTCGACTTGTTCCTTCCCTGTTGGCTTTGCTTCTTGCCCCAAATGACGCAGAGGAAGTCAGCCACTTTAGGGTACACTTCATGACGATGCAGGCTGCCTGTTAACTTTGAAGAGGCTGTTTCAGGCCAGTTTTAAGATTAGCCTGTGGACAGAAATAGGACAATTAACATGCATGCATATGCAAACGCCCTCTACTGTGTTTCATTGAGATGCATGCAGAGGGTTTGCGATTTACCTCCTCTTGTTCACGCGCTGGATTGGAATTTTAAGAGATTGGACGAAAGAGTACCATTAGTTTGGAGTTATTGCTCACCGTACCGGACGCAAACTATTTAACCATTCTGCTATTTGTCCGGAAAACTCGCCCAAAAAAATATGTATTGGGATTTAAGAAGAGAACCAAGAACTTCGAAAATGTTCTTTCGGTGGAGCGTCAGGTCCAGCGACTATCCCCGAATTGCAGCTGCATGACTGCTGGCACCTCCAGCCCGCCTCACCCGACATTCATTTCGTTGTAAGCAGATGACCATTCAAATTCAGCAGCACACCAAGTTGAGATGTGGGGCTTATTGTCTCTTTTGAGTTTGTTCTTGCAGGCTTCATTTTGCCACCAGAGGGCAGTATTCAGCCAATGAGGTTATTTGATATCATTACGAGACATGACAAGAGAAGAAGGTTCTATTTTGCACTTCAACTTTATTCAGCAAATAAATAAACAAACGAGGATGCAACGCTGCAGTTATTTTCTTCCACCGACAGAAACTTGATGAATGTAGATGGACGCTTCCTATAAGGTCAACGCAACACAACACAATCCACACTGCTTCTCATCTCACAAAAATCCTTCTTCTGTCCTTCGAGAAGGTCCTACGACAGAGAACAGTCCTCCAGACCGCAGGAGTTGCCCACCTTTAAGTTACACCGGGCAACCTGGGAGGAGGGGGGTCAAAAACAGACTTCACGCAAGAACGAGGAACTTGGAGGACCATTCATTGTGTGTTTGGAAATACTGTCTTACAAACTATAATTTAGATGTTTGACTAACTAACCAACCAAACCAATAAGAAGTACACTCCAAACGTCATCCTATGGGATCCACATACTTAATGTGTAAAGGGTTAAAGTGCACCAGGTATTAGACGCAATATTAATTTTGATGAAATGCACTGATTAGATTCTCTCCTGTTTCATTTCTTCTGGAATCTCATTCTAATCAAAGTGTGATAATTATGAAGAACATCCACCAGGCTGGCAGCATTGCGCAACTCAATATGAAATCCATTTACACACGTTGCCGTTTGGACGCGGCGTTGCCTGCAGAAAGTGTCGGCCCACCCGACCTCGACAATCTCAGTCGCTGGTTTTAATTTTAGCTCCATTCCTCCCTCATCAGGCTCATTTATTGAATTTGGGAAGCGGACTGTCGCTGGCTTTCCATAGTGGATGGGCTCCTGGCAAACAAGCTGTTGAGCTCCCCGACAGACATCAATATTTCATAAAAATCCTGTACTGCTACTAAACAAGAAGTGGCCAAAGAAAACTCTGTGTTATGTTAGCCCCTGCTTATTGCGAAACTCCATCACGTTTCAAACGCAACTTGGCTCCACTTATGCGGTCGTTTTCGACGCCAAATTACAGCGCGAGGAAGTCCCAAACGCCCCTCTCCTCGTGTTCTTATTGTGCCGCCCTCTGGCCGCCTGACGTACAGTGTAATTACACTCGTTTGGGCCAATGCTCATTTCACCACCTACTGAACACGCAGCTGCGCGGGGCCAGCGGATAAAGCAACAAAAAGCTGCCGTTGGGCATTTTCGACCTGAACAGTAGGGAAATTGTTTTTCCCACAACCACATCACTAACACCATTTGGTTTTTCGCCATAAGAAACAGCAAAGTGACCGTTCACTACAAAACCGGAACCGCTGAACACCGAGCTCGCCGCCTTAGCTTACCCGGATAGTTGTTAGCACGAGATTAACATCTTGGTTCCCCGCTAACATCATGCCATTATTTCAACAAGTACGCCGGTGCCTTGACGTTGGAGTTTAATTTGCTCGGCAATAAGTTCAGAAGTGAATTTAGACATTTCCAAATCAATTTAGCCAACTGAAATGAAATTACACTAACGAGGTGAAAAGTGGCAGCCATCTTTGGGGAATTTTCTTTGAAAAAAAAAATTATAATGAGCACTTCAAACACTTAAAATCCTCAAGAACAAATACATTCAAGTCCAAAAAGTTCATTGCCAATTTATTTTGACATATAAACTTGGTAAACTCCTCATAATTTTGGCCTTTAGGAGGTTATCGGTGAATATTTCTTGCTGTATCTGTAGCAGAAAAGGTGAAAGGCTCCAGGAAACATCTTGATTCACTCCAAGTGGAAGCCAATATGTGGACCAGGTTTTCAACACAAATGTATTCCCTAAAAAGGGCATTTCCCCTCAACACAAAAATAGCTTCATATCTTTGTAAACTACATTAGCAACATTTTTAGTGTTTAGTTACAATTCGTTGGTTAGTTAGTTCGCTAGTTTTTTCCTGAGTTACTTTAAAGACCTGAAACTGATCATAACCTATACTTAGAAAAAACACAAAATTCAACAGACTTGTGTTCCGGGTGGTCCTTCCATCCATTAATTTTCCATATCACGTTTCTTCATTAGGCTCAGAGGTGAGCTGGAGCCTGTCACAGCTGACTGTGGGTGAGTGTCAAACTACACCCTGGACTGGTCGCCAGCCAATCACAGGGCACATTATTGACAAAGCATTCACACATGCGGGCAATTTAGAACCTTCATTCAAGCTATCATGCATGTTTTTGAAATGTCAGAGGAAACTATTTTAGCTCAGGAAGAACATGCAAATTCCATAAGATGTCCAGAAATGAACATGAGAATATTTTGACTTTGAAGCAGACGTGCTAACCACTTTTCGCCGCGCTACCTAGTAAAAGCTCAATTCCCAAAATTAAAACCGCACGAGTCTCCATTGTAGCAGCCATAATAGAAGACAACAGAAGGCTTTCAAAAGCTCAGCATTTGTTTGTTTTATTATTAAAGTGTGCTATGGCTTCACCCAGCTGCGCCACGCCACCCAGTGAGTCACCCGCACCGAATCATGCACACACCCTTGAAAAGAACAAATGAAAAAAAGTGCGAAGGGAAAAGTAAACTTTCAAATTCGTTCGTTTACCCTCGGCCTTCTCTTCTGCCGCTGTTGACTTGAGGCATCGCCGTGTAACTGCGAACAAGACTCCTGTTATCGGGGCCACGGTACACATGATTTGTTCAATCACAAAGAGGATGTAAAAAAAACAACCCTGGATAACGGTGCACATTGAAGGCGCTGCTAACAGAGGAATGGACAATGCCGCCACATGCAAACAAACACAGTTTTTCGCAGCTTTGCAATGTTTAGGATGGAAACAGAGCGAGCCTTATGCCAGCAATGGTGTGTGTGCGTGCGCGCCATCTGCCGAGGGCCATAAGTGTAAATATATGTGGCGTGGGCCTGCAGCAGGCAAATCAGAGTCATATGTGGTGGATAGGGATTGGGCGAGGGAGGGCTTGGTTAATCGATGACATTTAGGATCTCATGAAATATCAAAAACCTGCGTCTAAATAAGCCATTTCATCCGTAATTTGGGTGTTTTTTTTTTTATGATTTGTACGAAAACTGAAGTAAACAAAATGAGGAATTGCGCCATGCATCGGTGCTAAATAATGACGCTAACCACGGTTAACTGTGACGCTGCTGCAAACTAACAACGTGACTAACCACCTTTTTAACAATTGACTTTGAATGCTGGGTTAGATAACGGCGAATTAGGAATTCAAGCGGCGGTTAGGGATTAACCGGTGGTTAAAACAACTGAGAATTGAAAAACCGGTTGTGAAATGAAAACAATGTTTGAAGATAGCGATAAGCATGTGAACGATAAACGGTTAACTTGAGAGCTTTGCGGCGGCTCTGCAGAAGTATTATGAAATGATTATTACAAATCAGTCTTGGTTGGAATGAAATTTAATGTCATCGGTTAGAAGTGTTTCTTCAAGGCACGTATATACGCAATTGTGTAAAAAATACATATGCCTCTCTTTTTGTCGTATTTATTCCAAAGCTTGATACAAACATATAAGCCGGTCATGTTCCCATAACGAAACAATGTTTATCTCACACACCATTGCCTTGCCTGCGTAAATTTGTCCTGACCCAATCAAGATTTAATCCAAAATAGAGTGATGGTGCTGCTCTTCTCCCATTTGAGGAGACAAGGCAAGATGGACATGGGTTTGAACTAATAAATATGGTTTTCCATTGGCGATAACATAATCGAGGAACGGGGAAAAGAGCTCTTAGTCTTGTGCGGCTTATGAAAAGCTAAACTTGGTAAACAAACAAAATGCAGTTAAAATGCTTTCACCATGCGTTCAGAGACCAGCTGTGAGAGAGAGAGAGAGAGAAAAGGCAGATTGGGTTTTTTAAAACAGGCCGGAATGGTCTCAGATATATACAAAGGAGACCCGGCCTGGCGAGATGATGCACCTCAGTAGTCTTTCTTGTAAAATGTCTCAGAATATTTTTAGGAGGACGGAGGTATGTACATTTTGTGTCATTTTTAAAAAGAGGCAAAGCAAAACAACAAAAGCAAGGCGATTGCTTCAAACCTGAGAGCAAACATCGTTGGTGAGTTTGACCAGGTGGGACCTTAGAATGCACGGAAGGAAAGCAGAATTCTTTTCAACACAAACTGTGAAACGAAACATAAACGTATGGCCTGATAAGTACGCATTTAATCCAGATATCGTAACAAAAACCCAAAGGATCATGCTGATGTTGATGACTTTAGAAAACATTTCTCCCTTCCAAACCCGATTTTGTGGGTAATTTAATTTGTAGAATATTCTTAAATTATCCCTCCATTACCTGAACCGGGTATCCCCACGAGGTTGCGATTTAAAAAACAAAACAAAACATTTGTTTGGGGGAAATCAGATATTGGTGTTCAGTCCTCTTTTTAGTGGGTAAAAATCAATGCTCTGTAGGGGTTTATGTCTGGAGGAGTTTAGTTGATGTCAGTTGGTCACAGGCTTGATGCAATTTGTGTTTAACACACAGGTGGAAATACCCCAAAGAAGAAGCCGAGCCCCTCGTTGACTCTTTGGATGCCAGGCCCCAATATTTCCAGTCAACAGCAAAAATGAAAAGAAAATGACAACACTTTTGGAGGCGCTGTGTGACGGTGGTATGATTTGTTGCTCATCTAAATTGGAGCTCTCTCGAGTGTTATTTTGTGATGTTAAAATATGTTCCAAACATTTCACAATGTTTTTATTTTGTATTTATTAAATTAGCAAATGTTTGAGTTCTACTTTACAGGGATTGGCTTGTTGGAGGGGATCTCATCATCTAAGTTGTGCATTAGATTCTGATGTAGCCTGTAGATCTTGTCTCATGCGCGTGTTGTGATGGCAAACCCCGAGATGAGTCTATCGCAAAAAAAAAAAAAAAAAAAGGTTATTTCATACTTTATTTAAATCTTGACATTTAATTAAAAAAAAAAATCTGCAATCGCTATTTCTGCCACTTTTGCAGAGGAGCCATCATGACAAGATCACTTGACATTGATGAATTCAATAACGAATCCTGGGAAAAACCGAGCAAGTGCCACAAAAGCCTCCAATGAAAGAGTTTGTGTTCGTGTCGTTCGAGCTCGGCTCGGCTGGCCAGATATGATCTTTAACGCTCCACGAAAGGAGAATATACGGAGGGTGATATTAGTAACAGCAGCATGATCTTTTGGATTCCAAACAAAGCTGCTAACAACAAACAAAAAGGAATTTCACAAAAAATATACCGGGCCAATACACATGCTAACATTAGCGACGATGTTTGTGTGATGGCTTGTAGAAAAATCATCCTTTGTATGTACGTGACGGGTTCTTCAAGTTACGGTGAAACTAGTGTCCTCCCTTATGAAAAATAGCATTTCCCCCCCAAGTGTGTGTCATTTGGTAGGAAACCAAAGTTTTTAGAGAAGCGCTTTCTAGAGTGCATCGGGAAGGTCTATCAAGCGTTGGTGTGGAGTAATCCCTTGAAAAAAATAGACATCCATGCTTCATGCTTCCCATCCCATCAGTGTTCTCCACCAGGTGCAAAAACAAAAAAAAAAAAATCAAAAAGGAAAGAAAACGGGGAAAGTGCTTGTGATGAGGTTTGGTGAGGGCGGGCTAGACTAGATGGACTTTCTCCTCCTCATGAGCTGGAGCTTCTCCGTGAAGCTGTGGAGGCCCGGCGACACTGAGCTGTTGGGTGACGGGTAGAAGCTGTTTTTCAGCGTGCTGGGTGAGATTTCCTCAATCTTGTAGGAGATGGAGTGATAGTAGTGGCCCGGGTTCAGCTGTGAGCCCAGCGAGTTCTGGTGGGAGAAGGCACATCCCAGCCCTCCCATCAGCCCCCTGGTGGTAGGCAGGTCGTGCGTGTGGTAGTGCATGCAGGAGCACACCGAGTGCAAGTCACTCATCTCGTCGCGATGGCTCTCGCGCCCCCCCCTCCGCTGCCGCCCTCGCTGCAGCGACTCATCCTGAATGTGGATGATCATGCTGTTGCGGTTCCCCGCCAGCGACGCCCGCTCCTCGGCGTCCCGCCGCTCGTCCTCGCTGTTCATCGTCAGGAAGCGCAGCACCACCAGGTTCAGGAAGGCCCCGATGACCGTGAGGCCCACCAGGATGTACATGAAGCTGAAGGCCACATAGAGGGGCTTCTTCTGAAGGGCCCTGTTCTTCTGCAGGGCCACAAAGTCCCCGAACCCTATGGTGGTCAACGTGATGAAGCAGTAGTAGTACGACTGAAAAAAACTCCAGTCCTCGTAGTGCGAGAAGGCGGCGGCGCCGATGCACAGCGTGCCGATGCAGGAGAAGAAGCCCACCGTCACCATGTTCTCCATGGAGACGTCGGTGATGCTCATACCGCAGCACTTCTTGATGCGCTTCAACAGGTACTTGACAAACGTGTTCATCCTCTCGCCAAGACTCTGGAACATCACCAGAGTCAAGGGGATGCCCAGGACGGCGTAGAACATGCAGAAGGCCTTCCCAGCGTCGGTCCCTGGCGCCGCGTGACCGTAGCCTGACGGGAGAAGAAATAAGTGCATGAGGTGGAAGTTTTTGTTTACAGTGCAGGCTGCCAAAAAAAAACAGAGATGCAACTGGCAGACGCCACAGCGGTTGTGCAGGGCGCGGGGGGGTTGGTTATCCAATTAGTTTGGGGAGAAGTAGATGAGTTTGGAAGAGGGAAGGCCTAATGCTGAGCCAGTGACGCTTTTAGCTGATGAAACTTAAGGTGCTGACTCACAAACGTTATAGGCCTCTCTCATATCGCAAATGTACACTTTTAAAAAGTCTATTATGGGGAACATCAGCTGCCGCATAAGAGGGGGGTTGCGCCATGGAGCTGGTTACCGCTATTAGGAGAATAATAGAGTTCAGAAAAAGTGCTGCCAAACAACAGCCCTGTCGTGGCAATTCAAAGTAGTTTGTTATTATTTTGCATGCCTTGAATCGACTCGATAACCCCACACAGTACAGTATCGCTTCAAAGCGCTTGCGTTTTAAACGGCTCGTGCGCTCGCGACGACTCAATGATGCGTCGTCGTCTTGGGAACGCTCGTATTTGTCGTGCCGTGCGCAGGTGCTTTTGTGCTCTGCGTGTGTGCACAGGTGACGCTTGTGTTTGTGCAGAGCCACAAAAACACACGCATGCACAGGATTGCTTTTAAAATGAAATTGGAAAAGACAGCGAGTAAAGACAAATAATTGTGACATCATCCGCGCCGGTCACTCACAAATGTTACATCAGACATTGATGTGAAGATTAACTGGAGAAATATGACATGCCCAATGCATCCGCCACATGCACAAATCTGCAGGTTTTATTTTTTACTGTTATTATTTTGTTAGTTGACTAATTACCAACAGTGTTTGCGATTAGTCGACTAATCATATGATATCGTCAGCCCCCTAAAATAACTGCCTTACATCTCCCCCCCCAGAAAACATGAAAAAAATTAACCACATTCCGAGATGTATTAATAATTTCATTTCAGGGGTATAAACGAATGATCTGTTGAATTGCGGATGTACCCGATGTTGAGGCATTTAAAACAAAAATCTAAAAACAAAGATAATTATGCTGATAGTACGTACATAGTACACAAGTGTGCGAAGCGCTGAAAATGTCATTTTTGGTGTGAAGATCATATGAACGTTCACATTACAGCTCTACAGCTATAAGTAGCTCTTGATGGTATTTTTTAATTTTTTTTTTCATAAAAGCTTTAACAGTTATGGTGTCCTTTTCATTCCTACTGCTAGGAGTAGGCGTGGCCTTTCCATTGACATCACGGCTGGCCTGGGTCAACGCTACTGCGGATGTGCGTCAACTCAAGCACAGAAAATGCTGACAGGGCGGCGGGAGCCGCAGAGTCTGTTTTGAGGGGAGAAATAGAACTGCAGAAATAATACCGACCAGTCGACGATTTCAATGAATTGTCGACGCTTTTGGTCGTCGACTTCTGTTCTGTGCTTCAGGGCTCAAGAAAAAAAAAGGCTGCAGTAGATCGCGCAATCAACTGACCAAGTGCATCATGCAAGGTTCGGTGTCCCGCGGGTCAGAAACGGAGCACCTGCAATGTTGGACACTCGCAAGACCACATGCACACTGCTCTGCTCCAACACTGCATGACTCAACTTTTTGTTTGGCTGCTTTGCACTTGACTTATTTGGAGCGTCTGCCCACACCGACACCTGTATGCATGCTTATGTCTGTGCACGACGGCCACGGCGGCACTGGACTTTTGAGTCATTGATGCTCAAATTGAACTGACACGGCATGAAAGGGCCGAATTCCAGTCTGATGTAGCTCCACGACAATATGCTACGTTTTTCAATTATCTCAACGTGCAAATCGCAACGGCCTAATGAATACGTCAACAGGGAAAGGTAGATTTCATAGCGGTGAGAAGACAAATGACAATACGCGTTCAGCTCTTTAACAACCTGACAGTGTGTAGTTAGAAGGTGACTGCGTATTACACATGCAATCAATCATGACTACGGTAATTCAACAGTGCGCAATTTTTTGTGGCAATCCTTTATCACTCATCCGTCTTTGTCTAGGATGGTACCACGGACTGAAAACACTTGACATCCCGCCCTCCAGGAACGAGGAAGCGCTGTCGTCTGCGCCCAGGCAAACAAATGCAAGAGTTTACAATTTTCTTGTTTCTCTTTTGTTAACAGTTCCGCTCCACTGAGAGCCATTCTTGGTCAATTTGCAGTCGTTCCAAATGAACAGTTGGCCTTAAAAAAAAAAAAGGGGGAAAAAATGTCAACTAAATGAAGTACAGCAGTCACATGAGTCCTCAGCCTGAATGGTCGTTTAAGATTAAAATAACTTCCATTCCTGGGCGATGTCTGGTTAGGTTATTTCCTGACCCACGAAGGAGTAGCTCACAAACACCTCGATTAGACCAAACAATTGTTCGAGTCACGTTGGTGAAAATCAGAATGAGTGAGCCAATAAATCATTCAATCAAAATACAGTAGGGTCACTCCTGGATAATGAAGATGTTTTCGCCCAGGAGGACAGCCAGCCCTCTTCAAGTGAGTGAGCAAGACTTGACTACTGAGGAAGCGGCCCAAAAGTATTTTTCTTTTCCCAAACAAACTAGGCCCGGCATCTCCATGTATGTGGACCAATATGTTTGCTGTATGACGAGTATTTCTTCTATAAATCAGGCTGAGAGAACATCCACTTAACGCAAACCCACCTACAATGGTCAACTGGCATCCCAGCGGGCAAAGCAAACCAACTTTATGGAGGCTTTTCGGTCACCTCTTTAAAAACTCATCAGCTCAAAACAGCTCACATCCAGGTGTTAAAAAAAAAAAAAAATCAGCCGTGAAACCAGCCTGGGAGCGGTGTTAACTTTGCTTTAATGGTGATGCTTTTGATTTTTATGGAGATAATTGGGCTCCAGGGGGGTCATAGTAGCATGGCATTTGATGGCTGAAGGGGGGCGGCGCACACCTATTGATGCAGAGAAGCGTTTTAAATCTCAGTCGCCGAAGGCTAGAAAAGGCGAGAACGGGGCAAATCGGTTCTGCTTTCAGAACCCAAAAAAAAAAAATGATGACATTGCTGGCAGTTTATCAATTACTTGACATAAGTGAGAATTTGAGGAACATGTGAGCATCCCGAAGAAAGCCTTCTGATGCAACGATATGCATTAGAGTACATTTTTGGGAAAACATTCATGTTTCATTGAAGTCATACCCCAATTGGCTTTTTTTTTTTGTTTGTTTTCGTTGGTCACTCAATTGTGTCCTGCATTATTTATAATATAATCAAGGCTGGCACTCATTAGTACCCACACGAGCCTGGCCATTAACGCTACAAGTGTGGAGCATTTGCTTAAACCAGGCCCTTTTCCTTGTTTGATCGGCGGGTTAATCTGCCTCCAACATTCTCAGGTAGCCCGGAGGTGTTCGCTGCTACGGGCGTTGACATTTTAATGAAGGTCAAGAGGAGCGCTGTGGAGAGAAGCCGTCAGGCGAGTTAAGGTGGTGTGGCACTCAACTGTCAGGGAATTTGCCCAGAATTCATTTTTTTGTTGTTGTTTGACTTGTCTGGGTGACATGAAATGTACATCCTCACTCTCGGCATGTTTCTTAGTTGGATCCGCTCATGTATTGGAGGTACAAGCCCTTAAAGGCTTTAGCACAAGCCCTACCGAAGGATACACAATAGAAACGTATTTAAAGATGAACGTAAAGTTTTATATATAAAAAAAAATAAAAAGCAATAATCCTGTAATATTCTATCCGTCGTTAAAACAGGAACAAAAATTCAAAGTAACATCAACGTGATTTCCCTTTTGACACGAATTCAAATAAATAGCAGCTGAACAGAACAAAACACGATCGCTGTCGTGAATCTAAACCAAATATATCGAGAGGGGTTTGAGAAAATCTTTTCGTAAAATAAAGTGTTGCCATGCTAACGAGGCCCTAACGGTATATTGTCAATGACGCACACAGCCAAGTTATATTTGTGATCACTGCGTGTTTTTCTTTCATGAACAGAGGGTGCCATATCAGTTTTGTCCACGGGTGAAAATGAACCGAGTACACCTGGGCTCTACCGTACACTCGCCAACCACAATATTAGGTAAGAAAATTCGGACTTTCCAAAGACGACAGACAGTACTTGGTTTTGATTGACATTGTCCTTTGACAATATGTTTATGATTGTGTTTGTGGTGGACTGCACCACATGATACGGAGAGATTCTATGAAATGTATTTAGCTGCATGAGAAATACAAGTGTGATGCAGTATGTGTTTCGACCCTTAGAGATCTCAGGTATGAGATTCAAGCACCCCGCGGAAGAATGCTAATACCGATGCACGCCGCCTGCATTCAGATGTTCGCATTTCACGTTATCCAGCCAAGTTAGACGAGGCTCCGGTAGTTATTGTAAAAGGAAGCGTCGGGGAGCATGCACCAGTAATTACCGGCGAAATGAATGGGAATGAATTCCCTTCGTGCTATGGATCTGTCTTTGTTGGCCTCTACGGAAAAAAGCAGAGACGTCCAAAGTAGAAGTCATTCATTCTAGAAAAATAACATGCTTAATTGACCTTTTTTTTTTTTTTTTTTTCGAAGACTACATTTAAAAATTCATGTTCAACGATGAAAATGATATTTTACCATTAAATATCCGTTGGTGAAAGAGACATTTCTGACACCGTGTTGGTGTCGCAAACATAAATGATTGAAGGATTCAGTAGGAAGAAAAAAGAAAAAAAGAAGGCCCGCAGCTATAAACACGAGGAGGCAACAGATGCATGTGGCGACACGCGCGCACGCAGCCCGCCGCCAAACAATGCGAGGAGCTGTCACGACGACGCACACATCCTTGCCCGGCGTTTGCCGCGTGACAGCGACAGCTTGTCACTTTCGAAAATGCGATTGGGCGTCTTGGCAGAAGGCTGCCGGTGACCACCGTGACCCACATAGTCCAAAGGTCCCCGCACCCCGTCGCCAAGCCGCAACTGCACACTTATA